TGTTTAGCATGTTCGCCATCTTAGTTTAGTGTGTTAGCATGCTAACATTTGCTAATTAGCAATAAGCGCAGTTTAGGTTTTGAAAGAATTTGGTCATAAACTTTACAAAAAATGACCTCATGGTGGTGCTAGAAGAAAAGTCAGAAGATGACCATAGTTATTTCATTTCATCCTGAGAGATGCATATTTCATTGCAATCCATCCAATAATTGTTGAGACAGTTCACAAACATCATCTTACGTTGACAGAGGAAGAGTTGACGTTGACAAGTCAGGAGATCATGAAAGTTGGTAAATGTCTGTAGAAAATTAGTTTGTTGAGATATTTCAGTCTGGCCACACCACTAGCATGACAAAAAGACAGTATTCATAGTCTACTAAAACTTTTGCTAGACACTATTCTCCCACAATGCAATGCACAAAGAAAACAAAGGAGATGCTCACAGCTGGAAAAAATCTAATTGTGAATGCTGGTGAAACAGCTCCAATAACTCCAATAATAACAACCATTACATTTTGGAAAAACATTTAGATCTCTCTATATCAAGTTTAATTAGCAGTGGAATTCTAAAGTTGAAGTTTGATATTTTTTGCACAGTGCAGTTCAGAAGAAACAACACAAATGATGTGTAACTAAGGTATCTGAAGAGAAGAGTGAAAGACGGGAGGGTAAGAAGTGTGTGGAATGGCCAATAGTGAGCTTGACACTCAAGCCCTTATAATTATCTGGGGAACTATCTAAAAAAGCCAGACAAGGGGCAGGCTGCAAAAAGAGCTGCAGCCAGAATTACAGCAGTTTTTTGTAATGCAAAAGTTAAAAGCTATGGTTACAGAACTGTAAAGTAGGAAATTGGGGTGAAGGTTAACAGCACAGCTTTTCTGAGGCAAAGACAGCCAGAATCCTCAAATATCCATCCACCACACATCACTGGACTTCAAATAAGAACAAAGGTGACACAGGAAATAAAACATTTCTTCTTCTTTGTCTAAGTAAGGCCTCTGTCAACTCTGTGCTGCAATGAAACAAACAAAAATACAGCCTGCCAGCTGTGACTATCTTGGCAAACAAATCAGTCAACAACTGACACTGACAACAGCTGCAGCCAACCACAGTAAATAAAACACAAGTCAAAACAAAGTTACAAAAATGTAAAAGAAAATAAAGTGAAATCTCTTATTTTACAACCACAACTTACCATTATGATAAATATACTGTATTTATTGAAGCCTATCAATATAAGTTACATCCTCAACAACAGGACACAAAATCTGAATAAAAAAACCCAAACAATGAAAAAATAGCATAACTTACCATTCCCTGGAGCCAGAGAACTTTTAATGACACTTCCACTAGGTATTGAGACGCTTCCACAGGCGATTTGAATTGTAGAAAGATGAGAAATGGAAAACCAATCTTCCACAGCTGCACTGAAAAATAACTGCAGCAGGAGCAGTAAATTAAAGTTAGTAAAGTAAATAGAGAAAGTTACGGCCACAGGCGATTCAGGCATGCACAGTTTAAAAAGGACCTATTGAAAAAACTACAGCCTCTTGGTGATAATAGCAGCACAAATGCATAAACAGCTAAAATAAGAAGGGTGACACTGACTGATCAATGACCACTGTGTGCATTGTCAGGGGTCCAATGATGGTCAGGTTGGATTCACTTTTAAGTGACAACATGTAGCGGTGCAATGTGAGACTTCTGTGAGCAGGGCAGGAAGATTTTATCAGTATCTAAGTGTCTCCAAAAATATAGTATTAAGAACATAGTTGTTTTGGACAAGAGTATCAGCTAAACTGCCTCATTACAACAGAACATGTCAAAAGAGAATGATGGCAGCTTTATCTCCGTCAAGGACTAAAAGATTAGTTTTACCTCCTTACACGATTCTGTATGTTTAATAAATATATGATGTAGATTAAGTTCAGTGGAATGTAAACATGAAAATCATAAAATAAAAATCTGTAAATGTGATGTCTAAAACATGAATGTCAACCTAAAACTGTAAGCAAGAAAAATAGATATTACATTTAAAGTTTTAGATTTCATTTCATATACGTTTCTCCATAAATGATAACTCTTTGATAGAAGGGAATTCTCTGAGTCTGAAGCTGTGGTGGTTCAGTTTGGGGGATAAATGGTGCCATAACCTTACTTCAAAAATGTTTACCACATGGGAAATTTATTTTTGCTGCACAGCAAAAACAGACACATAAAAATAGACCCATCCATGCATGTATTCCATAGAGAAATATACTGTAATAAATACAGGACAGGGTAACACTGGACACATTTGCAATTAGCAATTTGGCAAAGTTTTGCCAGCTAGCCAGGAATCTGTTTTATATTGTGGTATTTTGAGGAAACTAATGCTGTGGGGGAAAAACCTCATTTGAAATGTGGTACAGGTTACTAAACAGAAGGTACCATCATCTTCAGCCAGAGCATGTAAAATGTTTGGAGGTGATGCATGCACATCAGGAGTATGCAAAGAATTGCTCATATAAATACATCTATTTACTTTAGAAGAAAAAACAGCACTTATTAATATTTTATTACCAAACTGATACTCATATACTGCTATGTGCTTGTTAAATTGGCCTAACCTAGGTCTTTTATATAGGGAACATTGGTGCTGACACATTACTGATAGAAAACTCAATATCTTCATAGGATGGATTCTTGAGGGAAAATGTGTCACTTGCAAAAATAAATATATAATTAGAACCAAATTAGTTTGAAGGCTAAACAGCGTGATTATTTTACTGTGGAAAAATACTTAAACAACTACTGATGATGTGAATATTACTGAGGCAGAATCGTAGAGGGACAAATGAACTCCTCCACTGAATCATGTGATGCACTGATCATGACTCCAGTGATTTAAGACCTTTGGAGTGGATGCAGAGTTGTCAGGTGTACTGTATACACCTGACCATACATGGCATTGTACCCAAAGATTTGAAATCAAATAATACACAATAACCAGGTGTTTTAAAACCAGAGCACTGGCTTCCAGCCCAACCACTTCTTTCATAATCTTGAGCCATGGCTGCATTACGATGACAAACATGTACAGAACATGCTAAGGGATAGAGGCTGACAAGCAGTACCCATGTTGATCTGACAGTCCACAGCACTATTCACTCTGTCCTGAACCAGAGGACAAGAAAATATGTACACTCTCCATTGGGGAGGAGAAAAACCCAAATGCCAAAAAATGCTGAAAAATGAACACAACTTAGCATTTGTATTATGTTATCCAAAATGGAAATGCTCTCAGTCCTATAGCTCTATCTACAAATCTCTGTGAATTTTCAACAGCAAACAGAAACAAAGTTCTGTCATCAAATAAAACTCTCATCCAGTCGCTAGAGGCATCAGTGAGATCCATGAGGGATTTTCTTTTTACAAATAAAACAGGATGACTAAATGTTATTCTAAATGAACACCATATTCATTTTTTTGTTTTTAAATGCCAATATTGATATTGATCGATATTAAAGATGCCAAAGCCCCAGGAGAAGCCTGTCCTTGTGAAGGGAAGACCTCATGTTCAAACACCATTATCTCCAAAAAGTCTTTCAACGCTTTTTGACATCATATTACATGATATAAATAGTTTTTAACCCACTATTATATTAATATTAAAACATCATCTCAGGATTTCAAACAAAACTGCAAATAAAATTATTTAGCATTTGTACTGAAACTGGCAGTGGTGAAAAGTACAGTGACTCAAGTACTCTACCTAAATACAATTTTGAGGTATGTGTACATTTTATGCTACTTTATACTTCTACTTGACTACATTTTAAAGGGAAAGATTGTAGTTTTTACTCCATTATGTTTATTTGACAAATTTAGTTACTAGTTACTTTACAGATTACAGACTGATTATCAATACAAAATATTATCAACAAATATGATATGATTGTAGATTAAGCCACGAAGCGGACAAATTAGCTTTATCATTACCGGGTGCAACATTAAAGTGACATGAATTGAATGCGAGACTTGTACTTGTAACAGAGTAGTTTTACACTGTTGTATTGCTACTTTTATATTTACATTTAGTAAATGATCTGAGCACTACACCATTGTTTCTGAGTGGAATGCCAGTCTCTGAAACCAGATGGTGATTTTATTGCTGCACCCAAGATTTTCTCCCAAATTCCCAAACCCTCTCCCAACTTACAGTTAATGATCTCAATACAGTCCACAGCAGAGTTTTGAAGCATCAACTGAGCAGGGATGTGATTTGGGGATTTGGAGGCTTATTGGTGATTCTAACAAGTAAATACTGACAGTGTTTGGGTATGAATCATTACTTCATAAAATGCAGATTGAATTTGGATGTCTCTGAGCACAATTTCCTTTGTTTCTTTGCTACTAAACCAAACAAAAGTGGTTTGATATTTAAATGCCCACAAATATTAAATACACTAAAATAAACAAATTCCTGTGAAGCTATTCTTTGTCAGGGGTACATATTTCATAGAAAGCTTTTATTAATATGTACAAATTGCTCCTTACATATTGTAATTCATACACATAATTTCCATTTGTATGTGACATTAAGTAGAGGTAATTTATTAGGCCCTATCTTAAATAACATTTTATTCCTTGTTCATACGTTTCTCCCCCCACTGATTCAATGGATGTTCACCATTACTGAGTATTTGGCTTGGTGAGTTCCTCAATCATAACCACACACCAACAATATAAAATGAAAATACATTTTTGAAACAGATAATCAACTGTAAGCCTCCACCCAAGAATAACTATGCTGACAGTTGTGGAGGAAAGAAATGTATTTATCTGTAAGTTAGTCTTCTTGTTCAGAACATAAATTGTGTATTAGATAATGGATGGACTTTGAAAGCTCTTAAACAATACTGTCCCCTGATGTCTGCTGAGCTGAATGAACTTAATATTAGAAAACGCAGTATAAAACAACACACAAATTGGACTTAATAAAAGAAGCAAAACAGCTATTTCTTTAAAGTATCTTATTTAATATTAAATACATGACTCTCTATAAACAAAACATTTATCCACATATAAAAGCATGTATCACTATTTACACTCAACCCTCAAATAGAGACCTATCATACAAACAAGCAAAATCCTGTAACTATTCAAAAACATTCCTTTCTGTACTCTGATTTTAACAGTGATTGTCGCGCATTTCCTTAACATTGGTAACAGCTGTGGGGACGCCCGACAGCAGAGGGACTGACAGCTTCATTAGAAATGTCAACCCAAGGAAAACTCGCCATTTAACCTTATTGCTTAGCTCATCTGAATATTAACACCTGCAACTGCACAAATTACCATATTACCATTTTGTCGAATAGAGAATCTTAAACTGCAACATCCATTGGATCTGGTTTTAACATGTGAGCCAAAACTGCCACATCTACGTAGAGTTACATGAAACACTTGATTATCTCAGAATTTTGGTTTAAAATGTGATGCACTGACATTCAATATTCCTGAAATAAATGGTATGACAAACGTTGACATTGGAGTTGCCTTTAGAGTAAAGTCAATTATTGTGTAGGACATGAAATGTCTGTGCAACATGTACCTAAACCAGAAGCCTATAACTCAAAGTTTCTAACTACAATCAGCTAGAAAACCACAAATAGCTTGGTTGCTGTTTAAGAACCTTAATTTGGCTCCATAACATGTGAGTGATCTTAAGACAAAGATGTCACATAAATGATGGCCACCAAGCTAATTCATTCCTCCACCTTAGATTTCCTCTTGGAGGTTTTGGGTTTGGGCTTGTCTGACTCTGGATATTCTGGGGAGCCTGGAGGATCAGTGGGTGGGCTGGGGGCATTCTCCACGTCAGGTTCTGGCTCGAGGGGCATGGAGGGGCCTTTGGAAACTCCTGAAAATAACAAAAGCATAAGAGTTAATGCCACTTTAAGGTTGGTCAGAAAAGTTATTTCAGTTCCCAATAATCTACACAAATGAAACAGGTTGTGTTGGGTATCACTGAAGTTGAATCTAATCTAATATTACTGCATTTCATTAGCTCTGTACCTGTATCCCTGCACCTGCATAATGACAATGAATGAAGTTTAATCTAAAATGAACATTAATATCCGTAGCATTATTCAAAAACTTGAAATGCAATTGGCTTGTGGTATTGATGTCCGCACACCGTCCATTGACACGTCTATATCATATCCAGTAGAACAGAAACAATTTCAGATTCTGATTTAATTTGAATATTTGCTCTGGCTCCCATTCACTCCAATTAAAGCCCACACAGAGGACAAATTTAAGTATGCGTTTCTCAAGCTGGCTACAGCAAACTTGCAGGTCAGAGTTTACCTCTGTTCAACCTTAATTGCGCAGATGTGCACCATTAGATCCCAATAGGGGCCAAAAGAAACACTATTATTAAATTATATAATTATTCTAATATGAACCAATACATTGTTTCATACACTACCAGACCTAAACTGTAGCGTCATGATTGCTCAGCTAAATATTTATTCATTACCCACATCAAAACCACCACCAGCACATAATTTTGTTGAACGGAAGCCTAATGTGGCCATACATTTAGAAAAGATACTGCACTACTCGATTTTCCAGTTGTGACATCCCACAGCAATTTCATCACATTAAAAAGTTTTTGCAATACCAGTTTGATGCTTTAACAGCACATTTATAACCTTAACAACAAAACTCAGCCCATGACCAGTTTTGTAACACAGACGCGTGAGATGTAGGAGACTACTAAACGCCTGTTAAACAAACATGGCAGTATAAATCCAAACCAAGTTTAAGGGGTAAGATTTCTTTAGTGTTTGACAGTGTCAAGATACAAGTCAGGTCCCTGCCTTTGATAGATACATCCTAACCTGACACAAATCAAATACATACAACCTCCACTTTAAATAGCCAGGATCTCTAGCAGTGACTTCATGATAATACTGCTTAATATTGTATTAGCTGTCTAGTATATTTACAGGCTATATTTTTATATTCACAAGATGGTTATTAAACACTGGTTGCAGATAGTTAAAAAGCAGATATATCCAGATCTGTGTAATTATGTAAAATGTCTATAAATGAACATGGATGCATTGTTATGGTGTTTTTTGTAACAGCTAAGAGAAGTGGTAGAAAACACAGCCCACAGGCTTTTGTGAAGAAAAGCAATACAGTCCACTTACTTTTGAGTTGAGTAAGCTTCAACGATCATTTCAGAGTAGCCTTGAATTTATTGCCTTACCTGTGCATCATTTCTCCACACTGACTGACTCTTTTGTTGCTATGAATATATACTAGCTAGAGGTTAGCTGCTTTAAAAAAAAAATTTAAAATAAAAAAATCACACAATCCATTTTGCCATAGCCCATATATTCACTCTGCTACTGTAGTGCAGGCAAGAGGCTGTGAACACACATGGAAGAGATGTTTTTAAATTGCATTAAAATGAAAAATTGGGCTTTGGTTTAATGGAGAGAGAAGAAGGCTGTGAAATGTGTCACCACCTGCAGTGACAGTTTAACACATGATTTTTTGATATATTTTATGTACCGACCTCATTTTGAGTTTGTGCTCGGAATATAATTAAGAGATATTCAGACTGGCCCGATTTCATCAGAACCTGACTCAGCCCTGGGCCTAACTTCAAGCTTTACCATTAAAGTGGCTCTGTTACATATCGAAACGTCAAATCAGAAGCTAAACCGAGGTAACGGAATATTAAATGACACCTTCTCAGGGCTCTATGCACACTCCCCCCCCCCCCCAAGGAGTACATGTGCTCCTACATGGAAAAAATTGGAGCACACAAAGACATTTAGACAAAAAATCCTAACAACACAGAGATTATTAACAAGCAATTGATTACATACATATATACATATTAATACTGCGTGTGTAATTACATATGTAAAACCAGTGGAGGACTATAAAAGTGGAAAACACTTAAAATATCAACAAAGCTTTTTAAAACATTGAAACAGATTTTTTGAAAACTTGACACATTGAAAACAGCCTTTAAAAGCACTCATCACAGTAAACTGAGTAAAGAGATTAGCACATTACAGATGTGCAATGTGGGACTTTTGAACCAGGGACACATACACGATTCATCAGCACCATCCACACAACCCACACCACATTTAATAAAGTCTTATTTTAACATTATTTTTTGTGGGTTGTTTTAATTTATTAAATCCTTGAGTTGCATGAAAAATGTTCTGCATTAGTGTTTGTTCTCTAATCTTAAGTACTAACTTGTCACCAGCCATTCATAACAATGAGTTCAACCTTCTGCGAATGTTTGCTGTAGCACATTAACCTTCCTTTTAAAATCCCGCCCCATCAGGCTGTGACTGGTCGGTTCAAAAAAGTGACAATGGCTTTATGAAAGGTTTAACATTTTTCAACAAAACAGTAGTATATAGTAGTAAATAGTGTTTACTCACCCTCGTAAATCATTTGTCCATTTCATACATATATTTTTAGGTGTATATGCAAGTGAAATACTCACACTGTATAGCCCTCTTTCTACAACTCACACTGGTAGATTGTACCTGTTGGTAGCTGGATGTTCTTGTTGTAGCTTGCAGCAGAAGACATGGCTTGTCCCAGAGCCTGGTTAGTACCAAGGGGAGCACCAGGGGTTTTGGTGGTTGCTGCAGAGTTTGTTTTTGATTTGGAGTCCTTGCCTGGTTTAGTCCACACCAGACTCTCTGTCACCTGCAGGGCAGCTCCCATCTTCTGAGCCATGTCCATTAGCTGTTAGTGACAAGTAGGCAAAGGCTTAAAAATAATTTAAACAAGGGCTTCAACCATTGACTTTGAGACATCAACATAAACAGGATCTAAAGTACCTCAGGATCAAATTCAAAGTTGTTACTGCTGTCTCGAAGTAGGTTGACTTTCCTCTCCATCTCCTGATACTGATCCAGAGCTCCCTTCTTTTCACCATGATTATAGAGGAAGATCGCAAAGTTCAGGTTGACCAGAGGATTAGATCTGTAGGAAATTGATCACAATGGAAAAAAAAAAAAAATTAAATGATTAAGCTACAGATTAAATTCAGACAGAACATTTAAGGTAGAAGGTGAAAAAGAGACTCACTCGTCCATTGTCACAGCTTGTTCATACGCTCTGGTGGCATTCTCTACATCCTCCAAGTTGGTCAGAGCCACTGTTAAGAATGAGTACAGTGAAATATTGTCAAATGTAGGAGGAACAACTGTTCAGCATGGCACTTTAGTTATGAATGTCAAATGATTTAGCATGTTCAGTTTGTTGTATGCGGTATGTACTTAACAAAAGGTATAGTATGTACCTAAAATGAATGCACAACAGTAAACTGATAAACACCCAATAATTGTTGCCACAAATCATCAATTTACTCTTTAAAGGCATAAAACCAATAACAAACTATTTGTGTCTGACTCAGTACCTGCCAGCAACATGTAGAGTTCCCCCATACGTGGGTTCAGGTTGATGGCGGCGCTGAGGAAGTGGAAGGCAGAGGCATACTGCTGCATGGTCAGGTGTACCAGACCTAGGTTGTACAACACTTTCCAGTCAAAAGGAGACAAGTAGTGGGCCCGCTTTAGGCAGCTGATGGCCTGTGGAAGAAATTAATTTGGGAAAGAGAAGTCAACAGCTGACAAGACCGTTACGCAAGTATCTTATATTGTCTGATCTAGGGCTGAACCATTTGGGGAAAAATTCTAATTGCGATGTTTCTGCCAGATATTGTGATTATGATTCGGTTTGCGATTATTTTTTTTTTTATTTCTATTTTTGATGGAAGCCGCATCAAGCAGCACAGAGCAGATGAACCAGGCCAGAAGTCAGACACAGAATGGCATAGAGAATCCATTGATGATTAGAAGTTGTACAAACTGAGTTTTCGTGGAAAAAAACAGTAATTTAAGGTTAAATGGTTTGCAGTTGATAGAAGTAACTGAACTAAAAGCAAGCATAGTTTATAGCATATTTTATTGTATAGTATACATTGAAGGCTAACTTACAAAAATGCAGCGTAAAATGCCTGAGCTGTGTTTGCTGTGTTACTATCACAAAATGATCAAAGGCCCAATACACATATAAAGTAACATTTTAGACTACTAATGCATTAATGTGTAAGCAGTATTTTACTTTTGTAGCTGGTAGACCTACTCTATGAAAAGTGCAGTGAGATTTTTTTATTTTTTTATTTTTTGTCATGTTTCTTTATCTGCTCTGTAAAGCGACTTTGAGTTCGTGAAAAGCGCTATACAAATTAAATTTATTATTATTATATTATTATAACTTCTGTCATCAAATTTTATTGAAATTGGATTGAATGCAGTTAGGTAGGCTAGTCCAGTGGTTCCCAATCTAGGGAGTGAGTCACAACTATTTTGAATCTTATTATGATTATTGTTATTGTGATAAGTGATACTTGGGGGAATGATAATTTTTACATAATTATTCTCATTTTTATTGAGATACCTATTAAAATGAATTATGGTGTGATTTTGCAAGGATCTGTCCCAAACAAAGAACTCTTAATTAATTACCATCTAAGAGGTTTAGAGAGGAAATGTCTCTTTGGTGGAAGTGTTAAAACTCTGACATCTGAAACATTTCAAGGGCCCAAAGTAGACACAAGCCCAAAGGTTTGTAAACCAATGATTTAATACAGTGGTTCTTAACCCCCCTGGAACATGGTCCCATGGGGGTCCTGAGATTGCTACTAAAGACACAAAAACTGATTAAAAAACTTAAAAATAACTAGACAGACTTTACATAGTTGTGAATGGAATCATTTTGGTTGAATACTGTAAATATTTTGCACTGTTTAATCCAGTAGGTGGCGGTAATGCCAACCGCTATAAAACGCCAAAGATGAATAAGAATTTCAAAAAGGCAACCGTTAAGCCAGCTAGTTAATGTTGATCCCATTAAGTGAGTAGGATGGAGGTGTATGTGGTGTTGGGAGGGTGTTGCGAAATATTTTCAACCTCAAAAAGGGGTCGGATTGCCAAAAAGGATAAGAACACCTGGTTTAATGTTTAATGTATAACAATACATTGCATTTTTTAACCTTCTCATGCGTTTTTTTATGTAAAACATAATCTGAAAAGTAACTATAGACATCAAATAAATATAGTGCAAAAAAAGCACATTATTCCCCTCTGAAATGTAGAGTAGTATAAGTATAAAGTAGCATAAAATGGAAATACTCAAGTAAAGTACCTCAAAACTGTAACAGTAAATGTTGCCGCAGGTATTTATATACAAAATGTGAAACTAATGGTAACTGTCATATTTTAAGGAACAAATAAGAATAACTGAATAGTACTACCTTCATTGAGTCCTAAATTGACAAAGACAAGAAGTACAGTATAACAGAAATACTCACAGCTACATATTTCTTTTTTCCAAAGAAGCACATGCCAATGTTATTCCAGAGAGGAGGGCTCTCAGGCACAGCACATGCTGCCACTCGGTACTTGTTCATAGCCACATCAAAGTCACCATGGGTCTGCATCATGCTGCCTGCAGCCAGGATGGCCTGGGAATAAAAACAATGATTAGAGCAGTATTAGAGGAAGATGTTCCCTTTGAAACTGAACATGATGAAAGACGGACTGTACCACCTGACGGAGAACCTTTTATTTTGTCTGAACTACTTTAAAAGCAAGTCCAATACAATGTCCTTGGCTAGCTTAGTATCAAACTAAGAGTAAACCAAAGCAAAATGTCTGCTCAAATACTCACCTTATAATTGTTGGGGTCAAAAGTGAGGGCATTACCAAGGTGCTCAAAAGCTTTTTGGTATTTTCCAAGCTGGTAAAAAAATGGACACAGAAAATTATACATCTACTTATTTTTAGTTGTTTCTGACACCTACAATAACTGTCACAGTTATGTGTGCTCGTCACTTGTGTCCATATAATATCACCAAAAAGGTTATTTTTAAAAACCCACATACCTCTAAAAATAGCAGGCCAAGAGTAGTCAAGAGTTCAGTGTTCTCCGGAGAGAATCTGAATTAAGAATGAGACAAGTCGAATGAAAAATGTCACTTTATCTATTCCTGTAATTACATTTAATGCCTGCACTTAATCTTAAGAAAACATAGTTGATATTCATGGAATCTGCTGATTATTCAATCAGGGTTTGATTCAGCATAATTGTGGAGTATTAATTATGACCTGTGGGGAGACGATGTGGCTCAAAGAAAATTGTAGAGAAGAGGCAGATCGGCATTAAAATAAGATTCACAGTGGTACGTCTCATTAAAAGCAACACCAGTATTGGGGCACTTGATTAATTCATTTAACCCCAACAGGAGGTAGCCATAATGAGCTCTATTACAGAAAATGATGTCATTTCCTTATTTACGGCAAGGCCTAATGTTTAAATATTCAACATGTGAATAAAAGTGGAAATGAACAAAATGTAAGGGCCCCTGGTCCAAATGTGGCAAAGCTGGATCTTTGTGTAAGATTGAATGAGGACCTCCTATTTAAATGAGCTCCACAGAATGAAAGACATCAGATAAATCAAGAACCCTTTGGAAGTAAACAACCGCCTCTGAAACAGCATGTTTATTAGTGTCTCGAGGGAATGTCATCATGAAGGAAAGTGTCATGTTGAGGTTGTGTAATTATTAATAGTTATGATTCCCTTATTATTTGAGTTGAATGACATACTCATATTGTTGTTGCTTTTTAACACTGTCCACTTCTGAACTTTACTTACTCCACTGCTCTCTTGTACACTTCGATAGCCTTGTCGGTTTCTCCAGCCAGCAAATGAACCTTCCCAAGCATCATGAAAGTCTTGTCGTGTTTGTTTATCTGGAGAGCTATGTTTAGATGCTCTTCAGCCTGATAGAGACAGAAGATTAAAATGATCAAATCACAGAGGAATGAGAACAATTTGTACTGTAAAGTGCTGGTAAAATCAGCATACTCACATTTTTGAAGTCTTTGATGAAGAAATAGCACAACCCCAGATTATGACTGATCTCCTGGGGTGAGAAAATGTCAAATTATACTTGAGGCGTGCATGCTTAATTGAACAGGGATAGATAAAGGCTGAGCTAAATTCAATTTCCAAATAGTTCCAAAAAGTTATTTAATACACAAGCTCTGTGGAATACAAATCCTATAGTATTATTCAAAGTAGTGTAAGAGGGGACAGTTTAAATTTCCAAAACATACGTGTGAGTGATTAATGGTCTTGTCTGGCCAGTTTAATTCAATTTTTTATAGGCTTCATTGTAAAACAGCCCTGGATGAGTTTGGAAGTGCACAAACTTGTTTTTGATAAATTGTTGCATGCTGGCCATTTCTCATTCTAAATGCGGGGATCATTTGTTGGGAGAACTTCATGCTATGGATTTAGAGTGAAAGATGCCAGGCCCACTAAACACTGTCCCTTAAAACTTGAAGACAAAGCAGAACTACAGTGTTTATTTTCTTTTACCCAGTCTTTCTCGTTGAGCCTTGCAGCTTCATGATAGAATTCAATAGCTGCTTTGTGCTTTCCCAGGAGAAATCTACGGGATAAACAACATTAATCCATATGAGAAATTCATCAATCTTGATCACTGCATGCTGTATAGTTATTCTTACAATTCTGCAACAGTGAAAAATAGTAACTAGGGGTGGATTAATTATAAATTCTGGCAATAACCTGGCCTGCTGTTATCACTGTATTTCTTTCCTATGTCTGTCTTATTAGTTAATGGAGAAGGGTTGATGCACCCCAGGTTTGAGGGCAGAATACTCACAGTGATCTGGCCACTTGCTTGAGATTGTCAGCACTGCTGGGATTAAGGATGGCACAGCTCTGAAACAGCTCCAGTGACTGTTGGATCTTGCCCTCAAGACGCAAGATTAGTGCTGTGGCAAGAAATAAAGACACAAAAAGAGAGAGGATCTTCATCTACATGAGAAAGTAAAAAAAAACCCACATTAAATATCAAAGGCACAACATGGGGTCCAAAGAGCTGATTTTGGAGAACTAAATGATGAATTCGGGAGCCTGGGCATGGACTACCACAGAGCTGTCATTTGATGTAACTATTAATTAACACAATACATGTTACATGTGTAAGAGAGAAAGGTTACTATAAAAGGCTCACCTTGAACATATATGGCATATTCACACATTCCATTTGTCTCCTGCAGTTGTTCTTTGATGATTGCCTACATTGACACAGAATGGGAAACATTTCTACAACTGACAACATGTATGAATAGGAATACTGCTCAAATGTATGGCTACCATGCTTGAAAAAACAAAACCTAAAGAAACAAAACATTTCAGGTGCTGAATGCTAACCACACAATTGCCCTCCCAACCAAGATTTAATAGATAAACAAGAGTATCATACCCTGTTATTACATCTGCATCATAACAGACTGAGAGTGCAAGCAGTTCTCTGACAGTCTGATATTTTCCTGACTTTGAAATATGCTTTTCCCAACACAAAGTGCTCTTTCAAATGAAGCAGCCCAAATCCAGTTGTTGGTATTGTTGTTGATGGAAAATGTGAGAATAGACATCTCAGAACCACATCTGTGTCTGCATCTGCTGCCAGATGATTTTGTCAACAAGATCAAACTGAACACTTAGAGCAAATGCACAGAAATAACAGAATAATGCTTCAAATTAAATAATGCTTAATGTGGTTAAAGAAGGAATGTTGGTAAATCAGTTTGCATTCATCCATAAATCAATGTGATTGATTCTTACAGTATCTGTTGTCCACATGCAGTTTAGACCATTTGAAAAGGTTCTCCTTCAGTTCATTAAATCCCACACCTCTACACACATCATGCAGGTTAGTTATAACTCCGTATTCTGCTCTTTTATGCAGGAGACATTGGATTACCAAAGCTCATTAATCCTGTGGGTCAAAGCCTCCTTTCCAACTTAAAAAAAAAAATTCAGCAGCCCATGTTTTATTCTTTAAATGCATTACAAAGCAAACCCTGTTCTGTCACATTTAAAGATATAATTATAACCATTTGCAATGTGAAACACAGTAGAATTAAAACTGAAATAGGTTCGGTTTGATGTGATCGATTCATCAAACTAGTTTTTATTATTTGTTTCTATCATCATTGTACTAATTGTCTGTTAAAAACTCCCACACCATCTGTGTGTTCACATTGTGCCACTCTGCTCCAGCCAGACAACAATGTGATTTCCTGAAGATGCAGATTCTTTATTTGTTGAGCTATGTCATGCTTCACTGTGATTGGCTCAGTTGTAAGAGCGATGGCACCAGTGAGGTGACTGGCTGACAGTGTATTTATTAATCACCAAACTCTTATCTATATTCCGCTTCACCCAGCTATTTTGCACTTTGCCCTTGTGCACATACATGAACCAAAATAGCAGGTAGCTTAGAGACACCCAAACAGCCCGTGCGTCCAGGACCTACCACTGTCATTGTGCTGGAGCACTTAAAATAGGGCCCTAAGAATGAGGAGTGTAGCTCAATATGATCTTACAAAATAGGATCTTCTTAGAGGAAGTGAGAAGTATTCCAATATCTTACCAGTATAGGCATCTATTCAGAGTACCTACAGGTTTCATGTGGGAATACACAGGTCAATGCAGTGAATTGGGCCATAATAAAGTACAGTGTTAGACAGAACCCTGCTCATGCCAGGAATTCATTAACTTCATTACGTTTAAAGGGTTAATAACACCAACACTGAACACAGACACAGGTTAATGACAGACTAAACCAAAGGGAGACCGGAGCAACAAAGGCACTTTACCTTACAGGTATCATAGTCTTTGCGGATATAGTGCTGGTGGATTAGCCAGTTTCTTCTCTCCACAATGGGAAGTTCTGGAGCTGAGGACGAATACGATAAAATGATTAGACTAAAATTAAAACAAATCTGGAATACTTTTAAACTAACTTCCTGTTAATGTTTAGACGATGTCTTATTTAGTTGATAGCTGAATGATCAATTCTGAAAGTGGCCCCCTTATGTAGTCATTAGCAAGTCTCTGATCTCTGACAATTAACACAGATGTAACACTTAAACCTAAATCCACAGGCTAAATTTAAGTCAACTCACAGAGCACAAGATAAATCTTAACTTGTTAGCAGGTTTTTACTTACAAACAGATGGCTCAGACTATTAAGAGTTATGTCTATATTAAATTCATACAGTCTTTCTTTAATTTGGCAGCTGAATAAATAATCCTGAAAGCACCCTCCCTCTGTAGTCACTAGCAAGTCTTTGATCTGACAGTTAACATAGATGTTAACACTTCAACCAAAAACCCCAGGCTAAACTATAATCAATTTACCATGCACGCTGTAAATGTCACCTTGTAAGCAAGTTTTTCGTTACAAACACTTCTTTTTTCCCCCCAGTCTCTTTTAATGTCTACGCAGGTTGAGATATTCTCCTCGTTGCCAGGGCAACAATGTATCTCGCAAGCCAGGTGCTTGTGACAGAACAGAGAGGGTATAGAGACCAACGGAAAGAAGGAGGCTGGAGGTATGAGCAGCACAATACAAAGCCAGCTTTAGAAAAGGGTTAGGTAACCTCAAGAACCCAACCACAATGCTCCAAGTCGTCTTCCCAGTGCAGTACAACATTTTATTTCACAAGGAAGCAAACTTAATTCCAATTCCAGTGAGCTTGATTCTTGTAATCCTGTTATCTTGCACCTACTACCTTCCTCTGAGGCTAAAAATAGGATGAATGTGGAATGAAATGCTAGGATTTGAGTCTGCCACTAACATTGGGGGATATAATTAATGAACTGCCTGTGTAAAAATACAGTGTGAATTACACTAAAGCTCCCTTCTGTTTTTATCTGTCAGCACTTCAAGCAGTGCTCTGTTGATTTGCCACTAGAACTGGAGCCTCTTCCAACTACTTCAGAGAAATCCTCTCCATCACTGAGTGTGAAACTGCATGGGCTTCACACGTTTGCCCCGTCAAGATTCGGAATGGCCCTATTTGTAGAGCCCTAATCCGCTTTCTTCATGCTGAGACAGCAATATTCTTGTCTCTGGGTTTCAGCTGTGGCCCTGTGGTGCTCCAGTCTCCACATTCACAAAGCAGGCCATATTTGGTGAGGAGAGATGGAATACATGTGTGACATGTATTCCAGCAACTACCGTATAAAAGAAGCGTAGAAAGGAGCAAGGATGAACAGCACAGCATGACGTCTCCTAAATATAGTCCTGTGGAAAAACTTCCTCCCAAACGTGGAGGAATTTTCTCATTGTTATATTTGATCTGGCTAATGCCAAGACAGATTTGCCTTCCATGTGCTTCAACCATCTGTTAAAAGGGGATAAGAGCAGAGGAGAGGCATGCTGAGATCAAAAGACACATGGGGAGAATGTAATGAAAAATACGATGAAAATTATTTTGGAAGTTTTACCACAAAAAAATTCAAAAACCACTGGAATTACTCTCAATCTCAATTAGTCTCATATTCAGCCTCAGACACATATTCTTCCCAGGGTTTTGACAGAAATAGGTGGCAATATCTTGAAAAAAGACAAAATATGGCAGATTATATAATAATGTCAACAAATTGACACTTGGTTCTATAAAACTGAAACGTGGTGTATTGAAAACAGGTGAAATGGCTGGAAATAAAATAAAATAACAGCTCCTTTTAGGTCTTTCTTGAGGGCATGCTCAAATCTTTGCAACACCTCATGTGTTCACAAGAATGGAGTAACAGCATTGCACAAAATGTAATAAAAGACCAAAATGCACTTGTTGTGGGTAACATAATACATTTTGTGTGTGCATTATATAAGCCTAATTACATTTCATGATGGTAATTACAGAATGCATTCTGTAGCTTATGGAGACAATTAAAAGATTTATGGCTTTTTATTTGATTATTTTTTGATGGTTCACTTCTTTCTCATGAAATTACTTTGGACCAAAAATTCATCATCCAATCATAGTACATGCTATATCACCAATTATATTTACACTGTATATACTATATGTGAAAGGCGTTATGTTCATGCACTGACTGCCATTCTATTTTTAACGCAGCAGGTGCTTTCAAACATTGCGTTAATTCATTTCATATTTTTAAAGTTACTGTATGTTCGCATTTTTTTATTTGAAGTCTATTCCCATGCGTGTGTGGCATATGTTCTTAGAGCTTTATATTTCACTGCTTACCTTCTATTGTATGGTTATTCCAAATTACTCTTGTTGTTTTGTTAATGGAGTTTTTACTACTTCACTTACACAGTACTTTACACTTCTATTTCATCAACCAATTCAAATCTAAACTTTAGTTTCTGTTTTTATTACTTCATTACTCAGTCACTTTAGCTTACATTAACATAATTAGGGTTTTGATTTATCTCCTCAACTTATACAACAACTACTAGGACTGCATTGTATGTTAGAAAAAAAAAAAAAATCACATTGCGATTATTTTGACAGATATTACGATTTGTGATATGATTTACAAAGTGATCATTTTTGCATTACAATTTTATTTTCCCTGAAAAAACTATTAAAATCATGATGATGTGACATTTGCTGGGTCTGTACCAAACAAACATGTTTTCTTACATCTGGTAAACAAGATTTGTAGGCCGGAGCATCTCTGCAGCACTCAGTACTTTTTATTTTGTCACATATTTTACCTTTACCTACCTATCAAAAAATTGCAGCTTCTGTGATTTGGATACTGAACTTGGCCACATTGCAATTTTGATCATATTTTAATTCATTGTGCAGCCCTATTAAACTACACAACAGTAAGGGCTTGCATGGCGTGTGAAAGATCAACGCATGGCAATGCAATACCATACATTAAGATACAATAGCATGTTCGTAACAGCTTCCATAGGGCTTGCATCCTTAGCAGTGCTGATGATAATTACAAAACACTGTAAAATTAAACATAAACAAAAACGCTTAATCCATGAGCAACAGATTTAACTGGTTATTGGGACATTAGTCCATAATTATGATGACAAAATATCCTCAATGATAAACAAACATTTTCCACACAGAGAAATATCTGGAACATGGCTCAGCTGCATCCAGCATGCACAGCTTATTCCTTTTAGGGCTGGTGGAGAGAAGGGTGAGGGTGACCTCTGCAGGACGATTAGTTCCAACCTCACTCTATTAGTATCCTTTACCAGTTAAACACAAATTGTCCTTTATTAGTAACAAAATAATGGGTGTTATAAAAGGAATTGTAAGTGTCAACTGTCTTGTGGTACCTTTAGGTGCCCGACGTTTCTTGGCTTCCATAGAAACTGGGAGCTGAAATATATGAAATACAAACAAATAAATAACAGCATACAACCCATGCATTACATAGCTAAAGACACTGGATACTATCTATCATTGTTTCCCATGAGCAGTATGCATTATGTACGGTGGCCCTACCTAAATAGATTTGACACACTTCCTGTTAAAAAGCTGTGTGGACATACAGGTTAAAGTTTAACTTGCTAAACAAACAATAAACTAAACTGCTCTGCACTGACTTATGTGTTCCTCCCATCCCACCGCCATATACCACAAAGAAATGTTGTAGAACCACTTATTCATGTACATGATATGATCTTGGAATTTAAAATCATTAGCAGAATCACTCTGTCCATTGTCTGTCCATAAATTTTAATTATCGTGACATACTGCACAAACTGCCTTTTTCAAAACTAATTTAGTTCAGTATATAAAGATCACTGTTCACCAGTGCTCAGCAGTGTTGGAACTGATGCTGAATGTACGAGAGGAAATTTTTATACTTTTCTTCTAAGGCAAGATTTTGCCTAAAACTTTGTTTATGATGTTCCTATAATTATAGATTTAGGATTCATTTAAAGGGTCAAATTCCTGAGAGGTATAATATAAACTATTGAGTGGGGGTATACGTCTGTAAGATGTGAGCAGACAGGCTTACACTAAGTTCCCAGTATTTTAGGTACACCTGTGCTATCAGATGTAGTCCAGTATGACAGCCCTGCAAAAACTCTTGAAGCTTTAGGTTTGGTGATTCAGCGGGATAATTTAAATTTTTGAAATGGAAAAAAAACACCCCACTGACACCAAGTCATCCCTCTACCACACGTCTTTTCTTTAATTACTTGTTCCCACCATTAAAAAGTGCAGTGTCAAAGATTGAATGCTTAACAAATTAGTGACCATATGCTTTGATCAATTATTGCTTTAAAAAAAACTATTAATATTAAGGCAATCACAAAGAAAAAAGATATATCATAATATGGCTTCACTTTCAACAAGACTGCAAATTCATCATGGCAGCAGGACAGGCATCAATTAAAATATGTAACTGCAATAACATTTAAATAAATGTAATAAAATAAATGTAGAATTGTAATAAAATAAATAAATAAATAAATATAGGACAAAATAAAAAGAGCAACAGACAAAGTAGGCAACAGATCACATTCATATTTATTTAAGAAATCTTGTAGAATACTTTTATATATATTTATATATATATTTTATAGACACATGTTTTTATTGTTTATAGATTGATGTGTTATTGCATTAACAGAAATATTAGTTAGTTCACATCTCATAAGCAGACTGTGTGTTTTGCTTCAGATCATTTTTGACATATTTGACTCTTACAACTTGTGGATTGCTTCGAGTGCATCCACTGACGTTTTGGTACAACAGTGTATTGATATTCTCTATTTAATCAAATCCTAAACGCTACATTTTATAGCCATAACACAACTGGGATTTGTGGTAAAGACAGCTTCACTGACTGCAGAGCTGGACAGTTAACGTTATCTAACAACGTTCAGTTAAACCTATGCTAACTATGGTTGCATTATAAGGTTACCTACGCATCTCCGTTGTTGTCACCTTATAGCTGTTTCTGTTACCTTACAGAAGCTGTTTGCTGTTTAGTTTGGATGAGTGAGATTAAAGACAGGAGGCAAGTTACCATTAGCTGTAGGATAATCAACTTAGCTCCGATTTAGACTCGGTTAACGTTAGCCATGCAGCTAACATTCAAATAACGAGCGTTATAAGAGGGCTACACCTAAACCTAACGTAACATTTACTATTTAAGTGTCACACTATAATTTCACCCGCGGCGTGTTTGTGAGAAAACGATAACTAGCTTTGTTTTGGACTCACCGCCGTGGTTTGCTCCTCGTCCGCCATCTTGGGATGATCAACACTAGAAGCTGTTGCCATAGATACATCAGCGGAATGCGGAGGCGTGGCTGGTTGGTTTTATGAACGTTATGAGACTGACGTTACGTACGTTACGTACCGCCTTCAACATCCTCCACCAATCAAATAGCCATATTTAGGTTTAGTTATGCTCATAAATGTAAGATAACAGATTAATATATCCTTGAATATCCCCGAGCTATTAGACTTTTAAACTCAAATTCATCCTCAGCACTGCTCCACTGAATATAGTTCATTTCTGTCTATGATTATTATGATTGCTTTTGTATTACTGTATGTTGTCTGCTACATAGCAGAAGGGAGTTACAAACTTAATTTCACTTTACAATCTGTTGTAATGTGACAAATAAGCCTACCTTGTATCTTGGATTTGCTAATATTGCGGAGAGAGATAGGATTTGTACACAGCCAGGTGGGCCATCAGTGCAGAGAATTTAAAAACATGAAAACAAGAGCCACTTATTCACCTGTTTGTAAAACATAAAACGTAAGCATTTTCTACACTGAGATTAGACAAAGGGTCTAATTCTGACAGTAGGTGACACAATCCAACAAAACGCTGTCCTACATTTTAAAACAGTATTCGGATCATTTACTTAGTAAAAGTACAAATACATGATGTAATGTAAACATACTCCATTACAAGTGGAAGTCCTGCAGTCAAAATCCTACTTGAGTAGAGATTTTATCAGTAAAATGTACTTCAAGTATTAAAAACTACAATAAAACTCCCTTGTGCAAAATCTGGCACAACATGGTATCCAGCTCCTCATACTGCATATCAGGCTGCTGGGCAGGACAGGTTAAAAAATAAATAAAAAATGGAATAATAAAATGTCCTGTGACCAAAGTCTGCCCATGACTGATGTATTATAAATACCGATGCATCAATGTGTAAGGAACATTTTACTGTAGTAGCTGTTTCAAATGGAGCTGGTTTCAACTTCATATACAGTTAGGTAATTTAGTCCAATGGTTCCCTATTTGAGGGCTGGGATTCCCAAAGGGTCACAAGATAAATCTGAGGGGTCATGAGATAATTATTGGAGTAATAAAGAAGAAAAAAATAAGTTCTACTAAGCAAGTTTGCAGTCATTTTACTGACTTTTCTCTATTTTTTGCTTTCTGTGAAATATTCCTCTTTGGTGAACTGCTGAAATGTGACAAGAAGCCCCAACTAGACACATTGAGTCATAACCCAGATTTTCATCCACGTTATACCAACTGTAATATTCTTGCTGGTGAGCCACCTTGAATATAGCTAAGACGTTTGGTATGTACAGTATGAATCCATCTGCAGACTGTCTTAAACATGATAGAAATTTTCAAGAGAAAATAAAAGTTTATTTGATGTTAAGACTGAGAACCAATTTCCAACAAATACCCTTTCAGCAAAAATGTTTTAAATAAGTCACCAATATGTACAACACACCTTCTGATCATCAAACTTTACCATAAACCAAATTTCTCCATAAAGACAGACAAAAACACTAATAACCATCAGCCTTGTGCTTAAATCCCCACACAAAAATTGGTATGTTACATCTGCTTAAAGGCATTGAAGTTACACCTACACAAAGTGATTGTAACATATGATTAGAATTGGACACCATGTATATATTCACAAGTAAAACATGAAAATGCTAATACCTAACAAGTAGGTGCAGCTAGAAATAAAAACTATCTGCATCTATTCACAAACACATGACTTGTCTGCAGGATATTTCCTAGGGATCTAAGTCAAAAGAATGGATAATTGACAGAAACATAATGTGTTCTTTCAGCTCATTAATGCACTTTTTCTAATTCTATACTACGTCAGTAATGTTATATTAAATAAACCTGCACCCCGCATTTCATTTTAATCACAGCAGGCTCCATACTACATTATGAGAGAAAATATAATGGTAATCTTAACTTGAATTAAAATGTGCAATCCCAGTTATACCTCATCTTCATTTGCCCTCAGAAGAGCTTTTTGTCTCACTTCATTTATATCAGTAAACTGATTAAAACAGAAAGAAAACCTTCATCCCATCACCTTCATTAATCATCAGCTTATCCTATACAGTATTATATACAAGACAACAAAATTAAAACAGCAACTGTGTTCATCAGTAGTGTAAGATGTAGCAGGATGCATCTGTTTATAGGGCATCCAGTCTGATTGCCTGAGAGCAAACTAACTAGAAAACTATCAGAACTTAGTAGTTCAAAGTATACTGTATATATTAAGTGTTTATAGAAGGCAGAATGATAGACTGGTTACCCTGTAACGCTCTACATGCTGCTGTAATGACAAAAATATGTATAAATACATTATGTGGATCCATCATTCACTGATGGTAAAACATTCTTATGTCAAGTATGCTTTTTATATAATCCAAACTCCAAGCATAGAGTTTATTTTTGAGGCCCCAGTATGTTATTTATACATCAAAAGTGAGATAGAAAAATACTAATACTTCTACCAGCGTCTTTAACGACAGGATTTAAATAAATGTACCTTTTTTCTTTAAATCCCAGCCCTGTTCAGTGGTGCACTGCAGACACTCATGTCTACATCTTTCGTCTATGTTAAATCCATTCCAGGAGTTATGTTTTTGTTGAGGTGTTGCCAATTAATTTTTTGTCATACGCACTCACCCACACTTCTTTTTGGCCTTGTTTTGGCTGATCTGCTGGAGAGACTCCCCTCGTCATAAATTATTTGTTTTCTGGCCCTTTTCTTTAAATAATCAAACTCTCATCCCCTACCCATTGAAGAATGTTGGGACATGGTTAGTCACGTATACTGGTCAAAAAAAGACTAGCCTGAGGCACTCAGGATGTGGGAAACAGTCTAATTTCCCTGGCTCCTGCCAAAGGCACCCTGGGCAGCAGATGTAGCAGCACTTGCTGCAGCAGTCTGGACGGTTGGGTTGGTAATGACTCCATGGGAGAACTCCTGCTGGGCTTTGGTGAAGCTGGCACCTGTCCTTCTGTACTTAGAGTGGACCTGGGAGATGGGAAAATGAACACAGATTGGGCAGTGACAAGTTTATTAGATCAAATCACATCTGAAAAATTTGTCAGCTCTCATTATTAACCTGCACATTTGAGGGATTTCCAAATTGAGGCATGGCCGAGTAAACTGAAAATAGTGTTAACTGGTTCCTTTACAGTTACGTCTGCCAAGGTGCTCATGTTTTCAGACCCAGCCAAATAGTTTGAAAGATAACATTTTGTTTTGAGATATCCTTCTAAGAAGAATATTCCAAATGGTTCAAGAACTACATTCAATTTACTTTGGGTATGCCTTGAATAGGCGTTTTGCATGAATTTTACAGGAATGTAGAGGTTAACGTTAATTTGTCATTTTGTGTGCTTCAGCTACAGATAACAGTTCTCTGTGAGCCTGTTCCGCTCTCTGCAGGCTACCGTTACATAGCCACATGGAACATTTCAGAATAAGAGCGTTTTGCCGGTCTGATTTTGTTGACTTGTACAGATTTTGCTTATTTGTTCAGTTGTCCTTGATTTTTGTGCTTCTACTATGGTGAAGTAGGCTACATAGTTATATTGTTTCTTTTTTGCCTGTTTTAACTGTGTTTATTGTTGAAGTATGATCGTGAGTCTGCAAAGGGTGTTTTATTTTGAACATCGACCGGATTCTCTATGCCGTTCTGTGTCTGACATCCTGCCTGGTTCATCTGCTCTGTGCTGCTTGACGTGACTTCTTTCAAAAATCTAATCATAATCGCAATATCTGGCAGAAAAATCGCAATTAGATGCTTCCCCAAATTGTTAGCCCTAGTGCAGATTCAGGATTTTTCTTTTCAAGAAAATGATAACATTACACAAAAATTCATGAAGTGGAGTCTTCATACACTGGCCGCAGGTCATTGTCTAGAGGACAAATTTTGCCATCTTACATTATTTACCCATATCTCAATCCACTGTATTGTTCCATGTTTTGGTTCTCTTACCAAATAAATTGTTTGTAGGCTCAGCTTTCTGACCTGCTTAGTGTTTTTAACCTTTATAAACACTAAGCAGTTTTTAAATCTTATATTCCCAGTGATGTCTTGGTTGCCCTTTCATTGCAGTTGCTATTCAAAGTTCTTGTCACCACAATTTTAGCTTTTCTTGTTACGTTTCTCTCTTTGATCTGCATGCACCCTCACTGAGTTGGAGTGAAAATAAATAATATGAAGCCACAATGAGAATATCTATACACATACATCTATGCAGCACCATGTTCAGCTTTCTACTTTGGGCAACTTCAATGGATTATAAGGCACTGCTATCTTTAATTATACTGCAACAAAGTATGTGTAGACTGCAATTTACTTTGAAGTAGCAAAATTAGGGTTATGTAACTTACCCAGAGACACATGCTATATTACACTTGACTGCAAAGTACAAACTGTCACATGGTTAAATATTCCTTTTTGTAAAGACGGATGTAGAAATGTTACATTAGCATACCATTTTCAGTAGGATGACAGCCAGGACAGCGTTTACAGTGAAAAAACCAGCCACCACCATCATAACCACAGCTACAGCCAAGTTACTGCGGATCATGCTGATGGATGCGATCCATCCACTGTCAACAACAGAGACATACAAACAAATAACCATGTGTCATTTCACATATCCTCTACAGTGAGTGAGTAAAGTATACAACATACTTTCTTGACTCATTGCTCTTTAATTCAGTAACTTTATTATTTTTAATGCCAACATCCTAACCTCAGGGTTCCTACACATTTTACATTTCAAAAATTCCACTTTTCCAGATTTCTCAGACCATATATGACATCGGAGTACAAATAGCTAGATGTTTATAACACAAGTGTGTTACATTCTGACTATGCATGCAATTATGTTGCCAAATAATTGCCAGAAGGTTGTAGCTGGTTATTGTCGCTCATACAAATCAGAAAGTTGGTCCGCTGTCAAACACCTGTTGCCCACAGAGGAAGTAAACTAACCTGTGCAATCTATACTTGTATTATTTTATCTTAACATATTGAATAAATAATATTACATTATAATTCTCCCATATTTTATAGTCTTTTATAATTTTTTTTTTTAATTTTTACATTTTCATGGTGTCTGTGCAGTCTTTTTATTCACTTTAACAACAGAAACGACGATAACATCACTGCACTACTTAAATGTTCAGACAACCTTAATATTTGTTTTTGTGTGATGCTATGTATATACATATGCAATTAAAAGAACTGAAATTGCGTAGGAACCCTGGAAACCTGCCCTAGGGACCAATGGGAAAGCATGACGTTTCAAGTGAATGATGAAAAACTTAAAAGCCTAATATATTACATGATATAGAAAAGAAACCCAAAGAGAAGTCCCACACTTACAAAGCAGCAACCCAGACAAGTTAGGGCAGCAGGAATCTGTCAAAAAGATGCAAGAGAGGAGATACAGGGAAAGAATACACACACACACACACAAACACATAGTGAATGAAGAAACACACTGATCCATGCATACCCACATGAATCTATCTATGAATCTACCCAAAGCAGAGTGAATGGGCTTATTCTTACTAATGAAAATAGAAACGTTTGTTAGCAATGAACAACTGTCTCATGCATTTACACCATACATTCAGTCTTTCACCCAACATGCAGATGATTATTCAGTTGAAAAAAAGTTTCTACTGACCTGTTTCCCCATTTTGGGATCCCTACACTCTGGATGATGTACACTGACACTTGAAAGAAAAAGATGAAAAAGAAGAAAAAGAAGCTGAGGGAGCTGTCAGACCTAAGGAGAAATAAAAGACAACACAAAGGACACGTTATTAAAGATTAAATTATTAAAGAAGAGGTTTGTTTGCTGCCAGACTATTAGATATAGATGTTACACATGTGCAAGTCACAAAAAATTAGTAAAGACATCATCGACCAATTTGAAACCTCCAATTAAAGACTTGTGTTTCAACTAGGGCTGAACAATTACTCAAAATATTATCATGATTGCAATAAGGCCAAGTGCATTATACAAATCTCAGAAGCTGTAATTTTTTGATAAAAAGGTAATATATGTCACAACAAGTATTGTGGTGCTACATATTTGCCACATATTCTCCAGATGTAAGGGAACATGCTTGTTTGAAAAATCCCATCATCATTCATTTTCAGTGAAAATGAAATGCAAAAACTACCATTACCACTATAATCGTGACTAGTATTGCCATGTCTGTTAAAATAAGCACAATATATTTTTTGCATATTGTTCAGCCATAGTTACAATACATACAAGTAAACAAAATAGTGCAGTTTCTCTCAGAACAAGGAAACAAAATAACAGGCCGTAAAACTTTACAGAAACCTGATTTTGCAGATATTAAGGCTGTTTCAGATGCTTCTCCTCTTCTAATAATAGTCTTGGGGAGAACACTTTTTCCATGAGGAAAAAAATCTAATAACGCAATAATAAAGCACTGAACTGTAAGCAAGAAAAATCTGATATTAACATTTTCAAATCTTTTCAATTCAAGTACAGAGTGGCTCCCATTTCCTTCCTCTAAGCCCTCTGGCTGAGTTAGAGGATGAGGGTGTTTATGAAAGTTTGAAAAAAAGAAACTAGTTCATCTACATGTGTCCCTATTTCTACTGTTTGTACAAGAAAACAGTCCCATCCAGTCCTGTAAAGGATTCAGATCAAAGATACTTCAATATCAACACGAGGCAAGTAAAACAGAGTACCTGAAGGCCTTGTAGATGGGCCTGTACCAACAAATGAAGGACACAGGGGTGAAGAGGAGGAACCAGAGGATGGACAGACCAAAGTCAACACCGTATTGAGGGTCTGCAGTGAAGTAAGCCAGGCAGGCCAGCACGTTGAGGAAGAGAGTGGCACTGTGGACTGGGGAGACACACAGGAAACTTGTGAGCTAGACTGAGGGAGGTGCAACAGTGACAATCAAAGAAAACAACAACCACCACCTAAGGACAAAAGCACCACTCTTTTTGAATAACTACAAAAATAGAGCTGTATTTTTCTAGTAAACCATTTTTCTCCTCTTCCTCTTTTAGAGGAACTAATAGATGGGAGTGATGTTTTCATTAATTTCATCCTTGATCAATAATGTGTGACAGACATTAATTATATGCAGGATGTGTGATGGGACTGGACCAAAGTACGTTCCACAAAAAGTTCCAATGCATATTCTGCGAAATCCTATCCTCAAATATTAAAAATGATTCATATAACTGTGATATTAAATATTAGCCTATGAATTAATCAGTATCACACAGCAAACTAGGGATATTATGTTGTACATCATAAATCGTTTGTAAAGTGAAAAATCAGGACGTGAAGATGGCATTTGTGGCTCTACAGTCTACAGGGATAATATCCAGTTTTAAAATGGAGGCTTTTTAACATACAAAACCATCAGATGTCAATCATACTATCTTATGGATCTCCTTCATATGTAAAAACAGAATTACCACCCTGTGGTTGTATGCTCTCGCCAGTCAAGTTGCAGTTCATATCCACGTGAGCCCAGACTCATAATATATGTAGTGAATACTTGGAAGGACTTGAATAAAAAACAATATATTGCCGATAAATATGTATGATCCCAGTAAATAAACATTGTTGAACTGATTAATGAAGGATTATCATAAATGTATTGGCTAAACAGGTGCACATGTACTTGATTACTATGTAAAGATGAATTCTTATAGAGTACAGCTGCACAAAATGTGATGCTTTTGCTATCTCCTGCCATTTTTAGATGTGAAGCCTCTCTATTAGCTGTAGATAAAACTCACTCGCTCACTGAATCACGATTAGCTAGGAGCAATGCAATACATTGTTTGCAGTCACATGATTGCAATGACGCTTGAAATTCAGGATGAGGCAGGAAGTGAAAAGTATAATGGACGATATGGCGAAAAGCCCGTACTGTGGTAGTTATTGCGTCATCTCAGTTGATGTGTGTGAGAACTGGAATCAAATTATTAAATTATGGCTAAAAATCTATTTTGAGGTGGGCTGCCGCTGCAAAATGTACATAGCGGAAACCCTCGATTGAAATATTGAGCAAATACTGCACACATGGATACGTACACATCCACAGGTAGTACATTCTCCTGCAGATCCTGCGGTACTCCTCAGGGATGTCCTCCTCAAAGTCCTGATAGAAGCAGGGCTTCACAGGAAAGAACGTGGGAAGAGGTGGCCAGTTGTTCTCTTTAGCTGCCAAGACAGAAACATTCACAGCTGGTCATTTCTTAAAGAGGTCATATTATGCTCATTTTAAGGTTCAAAATCCTACCAGAACAGGTTTACATGGTTTATTTTCAAAACACACCATATTTTTTGTCATACTGCACATTGCTGCAACTCTTCTTTTTACCCTGTGACTGGAACGCTTTGTTTTAGCTATGGATTTATGCATCTTGCTTCTGCAAGATCTTTTTTGGGAGTTGCACATGCACAGTTCCTAGCTAAGGACTACTATCCAATCAGAAGCAGATTAGGGCGGGTCATGAGAAACTGATTACACTGCTTCGGTTCAGCTGTATATCCCCTTACTAGCTTAGCAACATGAACTAGAGCAAGAGTTTCAGAGTGCCGAGTTATTAATTTGTAACAAATGTATCTTTCATCCATAAAGTTTTATCAAAGCTCTGTCTCTACATCACAGTAACAACTTTATGTCCATTGACTGCCTGGAGGGTAGCTGGTGTTTGGAAGGGAGAGTAGAGGCAGCAGGCGGACGTCTTGTCACTGTGTGCTGCAGTAGCTGAGTGTTTTTCCACCCGTGTTTTGAGGGCATGTTGGACTAGCTGCAAAGCGAGCATTCTGATGAGACGTCACAGGGATGAAAGGGAAATGGCTGGACTACAAACAAGCTGTTTTCAGGCAGTTCAGAGCAGTGTTTTCTGTGGGAGATGGGGCTGGGCGGTATATCAGTATAAAGTACATACAGATATATTTTCAAATTAGATACCATACCGTTTATACCAATATCGTTTGATGTTGAGTTAATTAATAATGTTTTTCGTAAAGTACTGCCAGCATTTGCTACTCTCTCTCCCTCACCACGCAAACCCACCCCTGCCTGTGCGTCTGCACGCAGCCATCTTATCACAAAGTCTCTAACAACATGAAGACCGTGCTCGTCGACACTGTTAAACACCTGACTTGTAAAAAAACAACTGTTCAGTCAGTGTTTCCCAACACATACACTTTACTTGGTGGGCTGCCCAGGTATATTAGGAGACAAATTGTAGCATTTTTCAGAGAAACACAGAGTCATTACGTTACAAGTCACAACACGGTGGATATTTTAGAAGTATGGACCAGATAAAGCGACAGTGAACACAATAGTGCAGATGTAATTCGTTAGCTACCACATTTTTTGTTTTGAAAGGCTAACACGCGGCGCAGCTGGGTTAGCTGTGAATGGAATGGCGAGAGGAAAATTCCAGAAGACAAGTTATGGGGTTTTTTGGCGTCTTTATACAACGTAGCCTACTACTGACGGAGAAAGTTACCAGGGAGAGACCGACAGAAGCGGGGCACACTGGCGTGTTTGCAGGAGAGATGCATTAGATCCGTCAGTGTGAAGAGAACTGAAGGGGGCAGATTCAATAAGGTGGAGAATGAAGTATAATTAAAATGGTGAAATAACAAACAAGCTAAGTTCCTACAAATAGTGCAAATAAACACATAAAAACAAATACACAATAAAAGCAAGAAAACACTCGAGACTAAAATACATGTTAAAAGTTAATTTAAAATATATGTAAAGGATATATATAAAGAATAAAATAAACTCAAATAAAAGCGGGAAAGACTTTTATAGAAGTATGTTTTAAGAAGGGACTTAAGAGTTCACCGACTTAGCCGCCCCGATTTCCTCGGGCAGGCTGTTTCAGAGCCTCGGGGCCCTGACTGCAAATGCTCTGTCCTCTTTAGTTTTCAGACTCTGGAACAGACGTCTGCTCGAGGATCTCAAGGTACATGGTGGTGCGTATGGGACTAAAAGGTCACAGGGTGAAAGGCCATGAAGAGCTTTAAAAGTAATCATCGGTTTCTTAAGATTTGTACAGCTGCTTTTTTGAAATTTTGTAGGGGCCGCTATTGAGCCAATTTTCCACAACCACATATGTGGTTGTACACTCACCTAAAGGATTATTAGGAACACCATACTAATACTGTGTTTGACCCCCTTTTGCCTTCAGAACTGCCTTAATTCTACGTGGCATTGATTCAACAAGGTGCTGAAAGCATTCCTTAGAAATGTTGGCCCATATTGATAGGATAGCATCTTGCAGTTGATGGAGATTTGTGGGATGCACATCCAGGGCACGAAGCTCCCGTTCCACCACATCCCAAAGATGCTCTATTGGGTTGAGATCTGGTGACTGTGGGGGCCATTTTAGTACAGTGAACTCATTGTCATGTTCAAGAAACCAATTTGAAATGATTCGAGCTTTGTGACATGGTGCATTATCCTGCTGGAAGTAGCCATCAGAGGACGGGTACATGGTGGCCATAAAGGGATGGACATGGTCAGAAACAATGCTCAGGTAGGCCGTGGCATTTAAACGATGCCCAATTGGCACTAAGGGGCCAAAAGTGTGCCAAGAAAACATCCCCCACACCATTACACCACCACCACCCTGCACTGTGGTAACAAGGCATGATGGATCCATGTTCTCATTCTGTTTACGCCAAATTCTGACTCTACCATCTGAATGTCTCAACAGAAATCGAGACTCATCAGACCAGGCAACATTTTTCCAGTCTTCAACTGTCCAATTTTGGTGAGCTCTTGCAAATTGTAGCCTCTTTTTCCTATTTGTAGTGGAGAGTGGTACCCGGTGGGGTCTTCTGCCGTTGTAGCCCATCCGCCTCAAGGTTGTGCGTGTTGTGGCTTCACAAATGCTTTGCTGTATACCTCGGTTGTAACGAGTGGTTATTTCAGTCAAAGTTGCTCTTCTATCAGCTTGAATCAGTCGACCCTTTCTCCTCTGACCTCTAGCATCAACAAGGCATTTTCGCCCACAGGACTGCCGCATACTGGATGTTTTTCCCTTTTCACACCATTCTTTGTAAACCCTAGAAATGGTTGTGCGTGAAAATCCCAGTAACTGAGCAGATTGTGAAATACTCAGACCGGCCCATCTGGCACCAATGACCATGCCACGCTCAAAATTGCTTAAATCACCTTTCTTTCCCATTCTGACATTCAGTTTGGAGTTCAGGAGATTGTCTTGACCAGGACCACAGCCCTAAATGCATTGAAGCAACTGCCATGTGATTGGTTGATTAGATAATTGCATTAATGAGAAATTGAACAGGTGTTCCTAATAATCCTTTAGGTGAGTGTATCAGCCAATACAAAACAACCCCTCTGTGGAGAGTGCCAAGTCTCGTGAGGGTTTGACTATCCCTAGCCATGTGACAGCTTAAAAGGCTTTAGGGGGCGCAATAGAGCCATTGTGCAAATCTCAATGACATCAAATCGAAACATTACCAGTTCGAGACTGGCTGCAAAGTTTCGTGGCTCTTTGAGCATACTAAAGGCCTCAAATATCTGTTTAAAAAAATTGATAATGACGCAGGAAGCGCAAAATGCCTGACTTCCTGTTGAGCAAAATATCATTAAAAAAATGGACTTTGTAATAAGAGCAATAATTCCACCAAAACTCATGAAGATCAAAGAAACTTTGTCCAAAACATAGTGTACGTTTAGGGGCGCTATTGAGCCCCCTGGCCACGCCCAACCCCAATCACGGCAGAATATTGCAATTTTCATCAGACCTGACGTGTGCGCAAATTTTCATGAGGTTTCGACCATGAAAAATGCGTTTCTGTGGGAAAATAATTTTAATCCTAGCAAGACCGACCCCTGAGGCACTCCATATACATGAACAAAATGAAGAGACATAGTTATTAACAGACAGAACCTCCTATTTGACAGGTAGGATGAAAGCCATTCTAAAGCAGTACCAGAGATCCCCACCCAGTGCCTCAGTCTGTCTAACATGATGTTGTGATCAATAGTGTCAAATGCAGCACTAAGATCCAGGTGTACTAGGACTGACCACATGCCATCATCAGAAGGTCATTGGTGACTTTAAGCAGGGCAGTCTCAGTGCTGTGGTACTTACGGAAACCAGACACAATCATTACTTTCAGCTGAGGCACAAGGAGGGGCTGGGTTTACCAGCTAATCCACAGTCTTAAATAGAAATCTAGGATTATGTTGATGTGTAGTAATGAGTTCAGAAAAATAGTGTGTTCTCGCATCCTTAACCATGTTATTGTAGTTTAATAATGATTCCTTCATAATAAAGGGAATGGACTTGGAGACTGGATTTTTCCATCTGCGTTCTGCTTTCCTGCATTCCCTTTTAAGGCTGTAGTTTATAGTTGTATCCAGGGCTGCTTACTAACTGTAGGCTTAGGTCTAACCTTTAGAGGAGCAATAGTATCTGATGATGATAAGCAAATATGATTGAAATGGTCAGCCAGATCGTTGATGTGGGAATCAGACAGGTGTTGGCTTTGGCTCTGAAACAATGTGCAAAACGGGGGATTCACAGTTAAAAACTACACATTTGTGGTCAGATATGGTCATATCCACTGATTCCACAGTCAATTCAACCCGTCCAGTGTATGACCACGGTTATTTGTTTGCCCATAGACATGTTGCTTAAAATTAAAAGAAGTGGAAATATTCAAAAAGTTATTTGCATGAACATTGGTGTGGTCATTAACATGAATATTAAAATTGCCACAAAGTACAATTCTGTCACAATTTAAAACAAGAGAAGATACAAATTCAGGAAGTTCTGATAAAAATCCTCCCGGTGGTTTTGGGGGCAATAAATTATAAGAAATATGGTTGGTTGTAGGCCACCTAGTTTAAAATTGAGAGCTTCAAATGAGGTAAATTCATCACAGCGTACTTGATGACATTTAAAATTTCTCCTGTGCACTCACTAGCCCACCACCACGACCACTGACCCTGAGTTTGCTGAAACAATTATACTGAGGATACAGTTCAGCTAGTTGGCTATAGTCATTAGTTTGCAACCAGGATTAAGTTAAAAACATCAAATCTAAACTTGTAGACAAAATAAAATCATTTAAAATAAAAGTCTTACTTGAAAGTGATCTCACATTAAGGAGTGCCATTTTAAGTGTATTACAACTAAAAGTATAAAAAAACTTACTGCCAGTGTTCGGCGCTCTGCCTGCGGCCCTGTTCTGTAGCTCCTGCTCCTTCCGCTCCAGCTCAGCTGCTTTCCTCTCCAGCTCCTCTTGCTGTTTGATCAGGTTAGCCTGGCCAGCAGCTGCAGTTGCCTGGTGGGTGATGGAAGAGTTGCACTCTTAATACTGTTAAGACTTGTAATACAACTCGCTGCTGCAGTTTTCTTCCTAATAGCATTTTGATGGGAAGTTCATGAACTAAACTAAGGCAACAGTACATCCACCCCACACCTAATCCAGTTGTGTAAGACATCAGCTCCTCAGACCAATGTTATCCTAATTTTCAGATGGACTCTTAACTACTAACTACTGTTAACACTGTACATCACTCTTCATTTTAATAGTAATATTTTCTCATTGTAAATTTCCATTTTGTATTTATGATTGACTTTTGCAGTTCTTGTCTTTTCCCTTGTATGTGAAAACTGACTTGGGGATAAACTGATCAGCCTCAGAAATTCATTATTGGTCGGGCTCTATGTGCTGCTACAATAATTCACTCAACTCAAAACAGTTGTGTATTATTGTTGTTCTAATCTATTGTTTTGGACATTCAAAGCCGCTGTCAACTCCCAGACAGACAGATGCACTCTGGGTAGTTAATCTCAGCGCATGTATAAAATGGCTGAAATGTGAAATTTTCCCTTATTTGAAAATATGTGTGTCTGACTTACCTGTGCGCTCTGCTCCACAGAGGTCTGCAGGATGGCTGGTTGAGAGGAGGTAGCAGGGACGGGGATGGTCGTGTCAGACTGGGTTCCCTGTGAAACGAATGAAGCAATACTGCATTTTAAATAACCCCTCAATGACTGATGAACTACACTGTATAAATATAGTGAAAAGAGGGGAGCTAACCATTACAGTTGCAGAGAAGGGGTTGAACTCCCCAACATTTTCAGTAACTCCCTTGGTGGCTTGTGTGATTGAGGCATCCTGGGGGAAAAAAGACATTAAACACATTTGGTGAGCTGTGTGGAGTAAGGAGTGTCCCAGAGAGTCCCAACCTGTCCAGGAAGATCATACTGACTTTTAATAGACTGTAGGCCCTTGACCACATCTGTGTCAGTTAAAGCACCATGTCTTAGGTTGCCAGCAAAAGGTTTATGAATACATGTTAACCATACTATTAGGTCATAGATCTATATGATTTAAAAACACTGAGATGTGATAATCACACCAAAAAACACACAACCTACTGACTAAAGCAACAAGGTGCGGTTTTTCGAAATCTACCTGTTGATTCCCATCAATGGCGCGTTAAAGACGACTCACAGTTGATGACTAACCAGCAGCAGGCACCTGTTCGTAGCTCTGCTTACCTGCGCAGGTGAGTTAACAACCCACGTACAGCGTAAATACGCTCTTTTGCAGATAGTCTTTATAAATAGTCTTAACCTATAACTGGACTACAACGTGAAATCCTTCTATAATTGTGCCAATTCTTAGCCAGGAAACGTTGAGGCCAAACCCAACAACCAACCAAACAGGTTTCTGGTGCAGCATATCTCTTTCAGTCTAAACACGAAAATGCTTCTAAGAGCACAGTTCGCACATAGAAATCAAAACAACAGCCTCACCTGGAAAGGATTTACGTCCACTGGGTCAGCGAAGGGGTTGCTGTCAAATCCCGACATTGTGGAGAAAAGTTTATCTTGTATTAAATAAACACCACAGCTCCCGTCTCCCCGGTGTTGGCTGCTGTTCCTCTGATGGTGCTGCTCTGACACTGGGCCCTTGCGCATGCGTCGATCGTCACCGGAGGCTGTCCCGAAGTCATTTCTAATCAATTAGCCTACCTTTATTTTTAGAAATAATGTCAATTGGTTTCAAATGTGCAGTTCTCGTGACAGTCTGACTTCAGTCCACTTCACGTCCGTCTTTAAATGCGATCGAGTCTATTGTGGTAAACAAACAAACAGCTTTTTGCGCTAGTCTTGAGTTGCATTTAGGTGCTGTCGGAATTGTAGGTGACGTTACGACTGAACAAACCCGAGTTAACTAGGAAAATAAAAATATTATATTATTCATATAGTCATATTATTGCCATGTCATATTAACTCGTTTGGATGTGGATGTTATTTATTCACTACGTTGAACTGTTTGCTGCTTTCATCCCATGTAGCAGTGGTGGGATGTAGGCTCAAGTTGAGATACTTGTACTTGTCTTGCGTATTGGGCATTTCATCTTATTTAATGCTTAATACATTTTAGAAGCAAATGTTGTACTTTTCACACCTACTTTTATTTTGACAGCTGTTACTAGTTACTTTGCAGAATCAGATTAACACAAAAATGATCAACTAATAAATAATGTTGTATTTTTGTGGATTAAGCTACCTAGCAGTATTTATAATTAGGGTTATATTTAGGGTTAGGGTTAGTTACATTTGGTAATTTAAGTATATTTTTATGCTGACAAACATTTTAATAACTTTTACTTGTAACAGTATTTCCACATTGTGGTATTGCTACTTTGACTTTTACTAAGTAAAAGTTCTGAGTAATACGCCACCGCCTGTGTTGTCTTTTTTAGCCTTGTTAAGCACTTGACTCTTGCTTGAAAAGTGCTGTATAAATAAACTATTAATACTAACCAAGCTACATGCTGATACATGTTTAGATAGCAAAGACATGGTACATAAGAGTTATGACAATACATAAAATTTCATCGTGTCCCTTTTATCTGTTGCACATGCTGCACAACTACTATCTGTTTATGGAAGGGCACTTTGATTGTCATATCCAAAGGTGATGAAACAAATGGACATTGCAAATAATAGTACAGTAGTAGTAAATAATAATAGTAGTGTAGTCTAATAAGCTTACCTCTTATTAGACTACATAAGAGGTAAGCAGACTTTCAATAGCAGTATCTCAGGAGGAGTTCAATAGGTTTAAAATGGCCACCCAACCATGGATTATAATTTCTTAGACAATAAAAATGAATGAAATGACCCCTGGGTTGAGGAACTCCTTCTCTTCTAAGTTCAACAATAAAATAACTGTTGACAGGAGTTGCATATGAAGGATGAACACATGTAGAAAAGGCCAATAACAGTGAAAAAAGCATATTGTCCATTACCTGTTCTCCCAAGAGGAAGAAACCGGTTAGGTTGTATGTCATTTCCTTGAAGGGTACATATACAGTGGGTACGGAAAGTATTCAGACCCCTTTAAATTTTTCACTCTTTGTTCCATTGCAGCCATTTTCCATTTCCATTTTATTTCTCAGTAATGTACACTCAGCACCCCATCTTGACAGAAAAAAACAGAAATGTAGAAATTTTTGCAAATTTATTAAAAAAGAAAAACTGAAATATCACATGGTCATAAGTATTCAGACCCTCTGCGGTGACACTCATATTTAACTCAGGTGCTGTCTATTTCTTCTGATCATCCTTGAGATGGTTCTACGCCTTCATTTGAGTCCAGCTGTGTGTGATTATACTGATTGGACTTGATTAGGAAAGCCACACACCTGTCTATATAAGACCTTACAGCTCACAGTGCATGTCAGAGCAAATGAGAATCATGAGGTCAAAGGAACTGCCTGAAGAGCTCAGAGACAGAATCGTGGCAAGGCACAGATCTGGCCAAGGTTACAAAAAAATTTCTGCTGCACTTAAGGTTCCTAAGAGCACAGTGGCCTCCATAATCCTCAAATGGAAGACGTTTGGGACGACCAGAACCCTTCCTAGAGCTGGCCGTCCGGCCAAACTGAGCTATCAGGGGAGAAGAGCCTTGGTGAGAGAGGTAAAGAAGAACCCAAAGGTCACTGTGGCTGAGCTCCAGAGATGCAGTCGGGAGATGGGAGAAAGTTGTAGTAAGTCAACCATCACTGCAGCAATCCACCAGTCGGGGCTTTATGGCAGAGTGGCCCGACGGAAGCCTCTCCTCAGTGCAAGACACATGAAAGCCCGCATGGAGTTTGCTAAAAAAACACCTGAAGGACTCCAAGATGGTGATAAATAAGATCCTCTGGTCTGATGAGACCAAGATAGAACTTTTTGGCCTTAATTCTAAGCGGTATGTGTGGTGAAAACCAGGCACTGCTCATCACCTGTCCAATACAGTCTCAACAGTGAAGCATGGTGGTGGCAGCATCATGCTGTGGGGGTGTTTTTCAGCTGCAGGGGCAGGACGACTGGTTGCAATCGAGGGAAAGATGAATGCGGCCAAGTACAGGGATATCCTGGACGAAAACCTTTTCCAGAGTGCTCTGGACCTCAGACTGGGCCGAAGGTTTACCTTCCAACAAGACAATGACCCTAAGCACACCGCTAAAATAACGAAGGAGTGGCTTCACAACAACTCCGTGGCTGTTCTTGAATGGCCCAGCCAGAGCCCTGACTTAAACCCAATTGAGCATCTCTGGAGAGACCTGAAAATGGCTGTCCACCAACGTTTACCATCCAACCTGACAGAACTGGAGAGGATCTGCAAGGAGGAATGGCAGAGGATACCCAAATCCAGATGTGAAAAACTTGTTGCATCTTTCCCAAAACGACTCATGGCTGTATTAGATCAAAAGGGTGCTTCTACTAAATATTGAGCAAAGGGTCTGAATACTTATGACCATGTGATATTTCAGTTTTTCTTTTTTATAAATTTGCAAAAATTTCTACATTTCTGTTTTTTTTTCTGTCAAGATGGGGTGCTGAGTGTACATTACTGAGAAATAAAATGAACTTTTTTGATTTTTGGAAAATGGCTGCAATGAAACAAAGGTCTGAATACTTTCCATACCCACTGTACACATGTACAGCAATCCAGGCAATAACACTGTAATGTGAAAACCCATTGTTATCCTAGTATGTATATATTTCAAGTACGTCATCTACAGTACTTTGTACAGTACATTGATGCAAAAGCCCCAATAATTATAAAGTGTTTCATCAAATGACTTAATAATGACACCGTGAAAAACATTCTCATTAATAAAGACAGGAGCCATTTTGATTTTACGTTCTTGGTTGCTATTGAGCAAACACTTTAGAGACAGGAGATGGGGATGGGGATGGGGGATGGGGATGGGGATGGGGGGTGGGGGATGGGGGGGGGGTAACAATAGATTTCAAGAATAGAATGTCATTTGTTCACTATACTGTACATATGAACTGTACATTACAATTGTTTTATGGCTGTTAAGCAGTGAATGCAGGGATTTTATACACATCCGACACATTCTTTACAGAGCTGGGATCCCCTTGGCTGGAATGCACACCAGCTTACTTGGTCCCTTTGATGGCGATGTTTCCCTTGTAAGGGGAAAAAAGCAGCACAAACTTAAAAAAACAAAGTACTTTTCTCTTTCTCACACATACACTCACGCATGAGCGCTTGGCACACGCACCACACACACACACACACACACACACACACACACACACACACACACACACACACACACACACACACACACACACACACACACACACACACACACACACACACACAAATCATCCATTGCCCAAATCCGTACATCTCTGTCCAAGATACTCAAACAAAACAAAAAACAGATAAATATTTGACTTCAACTACCCAGCAGAGGCTGGTGTTCCGGCTTTGTACAGTATTTATAACTGTATATCATATGCTATAAAGAATTTCTGTGACAATAAAATTCATTAAATAAGGGAAACAAATTTGCAGTAACAGAGCAACCATTGCTTACACTGATTGTTATGAACTGTAAACTCATAAAGCAGCTAATAATTGTGAGCTTTAAGTTCACCATAACATCTCTAACGCATGATGTTGCCTGATTTCTTCTTATTTACTGTAGTACACTGCTTCAGCTTTCCAGCTCTGTAACATTCCCTGATGCTGAGTGGTCTTCGGCATTTTCCAACATTCCCTTTTCTCTGTCCTCCTGCTCAGTGCGTCTCCTCTCGGCGCTGAGTAAAGAGCTGCCAAGGCACTGTGAGAGCATGGGTGGCAGTTTAGTCCACAGAAGTGGAGCCCTTCCACTGATTTCTGTCCCTCTGCCAAGTATCTCTCCCTCTGGGGGTGGGAACACTGTATACGGCACTTGGGGACACTTCTTTGCAGAACAAAGAAAGGCTAAGCAAGAGTGCTTTGAGAAGTATAGATTAGTCGCCATTGCGTTTCCTCCCATTGAGAACGTATATGCCTGCCAAGGAGTTAAATAGGGAGTGCTTTGGTGTCCCAGTGTCCTTCATACCATGAATTCATTGCTGCCATACAATACCCGCTGCTGTGGTATGTCTGGAGGGTCCCTGCCATGACCATCGCCATCTCTGGTGTGCCTCAGGGATGACTGTTTGGCCCCCTTCAGTTTCTGTTTGCCCTTCTCTGGATTGAAGGTGCCTCGACTTGTAAACTGGGGCCTTTCATCATGCGCGCCTTCCAGATCTCCTGTTGGGCTACTGTCTATACTGTCGGATCGGGAGGCCTGAGATGCATTGAGAGCCTGTGCCTGGGGCTGGGCTGGACTTGAGCCTAAAGAGGGAGACTTGGTGTGAAAACGAAAGCGGCGTGTGGTGGCAGAGGAGCTAGAGGACGATGGGTGGAAGTGTGATGAGGAGGAGTAGGAGGAAACACTGGAGCAAGAGTCCACAGAGTCCAGGGAGTCAGGCTGCCGGCGGAGAGGGCGGCGTCGGGGGCTCTTCACGTCAGCTCTCCGAGGCCAGGGGGAAGTCAACACTGGACCTCTTTCTGCAAGGGAAGGACAAGCTAAGTTTTTAATTTATTCCCCACTCCATTTGTTCTCACTAATTATACATTCAAAATTGCAAACTGAAAGGTGAGTTGGTGATGATTCCCTGCATAATGACATACCAGAGAAGTCAGAAATGGTTCCCTCAGAGTCCACATTGAGGTTTTCAGAGCTGTCAGCTGTACCAATAGAGGCCTCTGACTCCAGGGTCTCATCATCTGATGCTCGTGGCTCCAGAGTCAGCATCTCAAAAGTTAACTCCTCTCTGCACAAGCAAAATTGTGATGAGACACAGCTAATAGTACATGTATATTGGCCTTTGAATTTCAAGTAATTTATAGATCATGTAACATTTTCAGAACATTTAAGTGCAGTGACTGTGTTTACTTCTCTTTCTGCAGGTTCTCGATTTGCTCTGTTAACACTCTCTCTTCCTGCTGCATGGCTGCCTGCTGATGCTCTGAGATTTCAGGAAACAAGTTCGCCCCCTCTTCAACATCACTCACTTCTATCACAACGTCAGCCACAGATGGCAGCCGTGGACTAACTGGAGGCGAGGGTGTGTGGTAGCTTAGTCGCTTTGCATTGCCTTTTCCCTAGGAGACAAGCAGATGTGGTCTTCTCACTAATGTGAATATTACATTTGTGCTTCATAAAAGAAAGCAGCTGACCAGCACTTAATCAAAATGGTCATGCTGTCATATACAGCACAATTTCACCACGTTTAGCAAGCAGTTACTCACTCGTACATGCAGTGACTGAACCAAATGAAATGACCGGCCAGGTTTAAAAACATTACAGCAGTACTAAAAAACTAATTAAACCCAGATAGATACAGCAAAATATTACACAAACTTTACCTTTTTAGCTGCATTTGGCTGCTTAGAGCAAAAAGAATAAGAATCAGTAATGCCAGGTTCATAAAAGTCAGTTTTAATGTGCAGTATGAAGGTCTAGCTTCTTCTAGCCAAGTGGCAGATGCTGTCTGTATACGTTTCAGTAGGAATCCTCTCTCAGCTTTTACAAGTGAAACTAAAGTTAACTATATCACTGTCGTGTGATATTTACAAGGAAAATGTACAATGAGATTCCTCCAATGGTTCATGAAAAAATCCTGTTAATTATGATCTCACACAATTTATCCAGAGACAGTAATGACAAAAAACCCACATTTTCCAATTTCCTATTTTAGATTTCTTATGAGAGTGAGATACTGATGTAAGAATTTTTTTTAATTGATTTAAACTCATAGAATAAGCTGAAAATATTCAGTTTGTATGTTTCATACTCCACATAATAACATAATGTAACTCTTATTAGAAACAGTTGCATGGTTGGATAATGACCTTACTTTCACCCACAGGAGACATTTTAAAGGATACAGTCTGACAAAAAAAAAAGAAGGAAAAAAGCAGAAGCAGAGACGAAGTGAAGTGATGACTCATGCTTTTGGGATGGAGAAGACGGATGTTAATATTTGAAGAGATGAGACTGTGCAGTGACTGGTACCACAACAACATCACCACTGGATGATGGTTTGGGGATGCAATCCATGGTGTGTGTATACATACCATAGTGCGCACTATGCTCATAAATCTAACAGCTATTAGTACAGGTTTCTGGGTAAAGGAAAGAACAGGTTAGGGAGGAAAATCTAGAGAGGAGAAAAACAGCTTACAAAGGAAGAAATCGGGGAAGGTATAGCACTGAAGGAGTTTTTAGGATGGCTCAGTCAGGAATATTTAGCAGTTACTGTTAATACGTGATTAGTACGTGGGATTAGTCACATTATTTGATCTTACCATTGACCGTCGAATGAAGGTCAGCCTGCACTTCGCCTTATTTTCAGCAAACTCCAGGCTACTGATGTCCTTTAGTCGTATCTTGTACTTATTCATCTGTTCACAAATGATAAGTTCTACACACCTATGGATGGAGAGCAAGAAACAAAACCACCTCAGAAGGACTAGAAATATATAACAATGCCGCAGCAAAATTATAAGTTCATATTAAGTTAATTCTTCTTAATTCTACACAGTTTTATCTATACAGTACAGTTTGTGCTTCATATTTTACATTTTTTTTAATCAAACCCCCCTTTGGAAAGAGAAAACTAATTCATGCCTCTAACCCATTAAATTTTTCAACCATTTTCTGGGAAAATCTGCAGCAAGGCAAGCCAAATTTAACATTATTGTATTGAAATAATATTATCATGGTGTAAGTTATGTTTTGAGTTTTTAGACACGAACGACATAAGGCTGTTGTGATGCACTGAAAAACAACCTGAGAACAACTTCAGTTGACTTTTGTTTTGACTGACGTGTTTGCTTGTTGAGCATCACCTCTTCTTCCCTGACAAAAATCTGTCCAAATTGTACTTTTGCTAGCTGAATAAATGTTGCTAAATTACATCGATAGATTTGAAGAGTTTTGTTAATTGTTCTCACATGAAACATGAAATGTAACATTAGATCCACTCCAATGTTTGCACCACAATGATGGGATAGTAGTATAAGTATATTCTAGTAGTATATAGTAGATGAAGTATATTCTTACGCTGTGGTCTTGCCTATGTCCTGGACACTCTGCAGTGGATCAATGGTGTCAGGACAGCGCAGGATACAGGGAGCAAAAACTATAGCCAAGGCATTCGCTGACATACGGTTTGTATCCTCTTGCAAGGCAATCCTAAAAGCATGAATTTAGTATTAGAACAGTATATCAGGAAGAAAATAAAGCAGTTATTCATCCTACTCCAAACAGATTTTTGTATTACCTGACAAGATGAAATATGAGGCGTTCCAGAGTGTTTAGGTGAGTTCTGCTTAGCTGGTCAATAACTGAATACACCCCTCTGATAGTTTCCTTTTTATCTTGCAAACCTGGGGAGGTGTTTCCACAAGACAAATCACCGTTTACGGTCAAAGCAAACAAATATATCTTCTGCAAAATCACCAGTGGGATTTTCAAGCACTGGAAAACATAATGGAGTTAGATACATGATGCTGCTCACTTACCCATGGCACGTATAAACTCCTCATACAGCTCAAATGTCATCAGAGGATTAGGCAGGTCTCTCAGCCACTGCTTGAAAACACTAGCAATAACATGGATGTTGTAGTCGTCCAGATTCATGCTGTCCACATCTGTATCGTCACAAGGAGAATTAAGACAAACCAAACTAAGACTTAGTAATCACAGCCAATCCTTTCACAGCCATGTTTCTCAGCTGTAAATGCCAGGTAGATATGATCTATGGCTAAAGTTACCTGTGTCAAGTCCCAGCTTCAGTTCCTTTATTTTGTTGGTGGAGCCAGATTTTCTGTATATTCCTTCAGTGTAGAGGCCATGCATTTCAATGTAGTTGATAAGCTTCTCCACTACCAGGGGCACTGTCCTCTCGTCATTAGTCAGACGTGAAACTTCCACTCCGAACTGCCTGGAGGAAAGCTCTGGATCAAACTGTTTACAAACACAAATATAATATACTCATAGTCATGTTGTGTTTGCATGCAGACACATCTACACAGAAACAAAGACTTGCTTACAAAAATTGGCTGTGTTCCAAAAAACCTCCCCAATATAGAGAAATAACTAGCTACAGTATACAAACCCACTGTAACAAAATGAATGTCATGGGACATTGTTGTGTGGGTGCACAATATGGCAGACTCACCTTCTTGCTGCATTTGGTGGTCGTTTTCTGGCAGCACTTTCTGTGGCAGGCGTACCGACACACTGGATAAACACAGCCAGAGAAATCAAATAGGTCATTTCCATTATCTACAGAAAGGCAGTGCCTCCTCATTATTCAGCAAAGTTTGGTAAAAAAGAAAATAATGTTATCGCTTAAGAGACCAAAGCAGTATTGGCTGGCATGAAGAAAACATCCTGTGCGGATAAAGGACAAACTGTGTGGAGAAATCTCTGGAGAGACAGAATCCCAGACCCCATGAGTCCAGTTGAAAACAATCTGATTAGGACAAAGGGGGAGGGAGGGCGGGGCTCGCTCTCTGAAGCCAGACTGAACACAGCTGTGTGGTGTGTGTGTGTGTGTCTGAGTACAAGTTCATGTGAATCTCTGTGTGAAAATAAGGTGATGTATTAGCTTTTTTAGCATCACATAATGTATATTTTAGGGCTGCAACTTACTTAAGTATTTTCATCTGTTGATTGTTTTGTGAATGAACCAATTGATCATTTGGTCTATAAACTGAACTGAAATTGTCAGAAAGTAAAAGAATCACAAGTTCCCAGAGCCCAAGGTGACACTGCCAGATGTCTATTTTGAATTTAGAATTACATAAAACAGAACAGCAGCAAAACTTTACATTTAAGAAACTGGAACTGCCAATTTGTCCTGACTAAACGAATTACTGAATTTGTTGATGATTAATTAATTAATTACAATGAATTATTTCAGCACTGACATATTTTAATAATACTACTTCCAACGCTCCCATCTATGGCCTTCAAAACTGTTTTAAAAAAAGGACCATTAGCTTTTTCAAAAGAAATATTCTAAGACTAGAATTCTTAGATACTGTAGGATATTTTGCATGCATACTCACATTTGCACACGCAGGCACGATCCATCATCCAGATGAGTGATGAGCAATATTCACAGTATGTAGGGATGCTGTACTGGGTGGACTTGAAGATGTGGCCATTATGCTCCTCCACCTGCAGAGAGCAACAGAGCACCGGTTCATTTAGAGTTCATCTGCATGTTTCCTTTATATGTATGTTATGTTTTACTTTTATCTTAATGGCCTTTTCTATATTTTTGTCACTGGTTAATTTACACCTTGTTATTACAAATAGCATATGGAGGTGTAGAGGACTAGCTGTGAGGGCAAAGTGTTGCTTTTCTTTTGTTATAGTCAAGATCATGTACTTTGTAATGATGAGAATGAAGAGAGACTTACAATGTCTGTGTCCTTCTTCCTACGTTTTTTGCGTTCAGGTTTAGGTACTTGCTGTAGTAAAAAAAAAAAAAAAAAAAGACAAAACAGAACAAAAGATATGTTTTAGTATTTATTAATATGTCACTGTAGAAAAGTCTGTAAAGTTTGTAAAAACTTTACTTACATTATACATAATAAAATCATTAACCAAATTTCTTATCGGATGGAACAATTAATGCCCATGTATGTCTTTAATGTTACCCCAAAACCTAACTAATATAAAGAAGCACAAAATGTGCTTTAACAGTTCATTTTCCTGAGCAGTTAGGAGGCTGTTCTGTGTCTTTACCTTGCTGAATGTGCTATCCAGAGGTTTGTACTCAGTCATGAATTCGTCCAGGAAAACTTTAAAGGTGTTGACCCACACTGTGACAGGAGACTCTCTCCAGTCCCTCTGCTCCTGTCGCATGGTCTTCTCCAAGATTTGCTCAAACAGAGCGTAGAGGTCTTTGTAGCGGATACTCTTACCATCGTCCATCTAGGGAGGAAAGGAAGAGCATTATCTTAGGAAATAATGTTCAAGTATAAAAGAGCTAGTCTAACTATTGAAATGTTGTACTTTGACTTACGCTTTTGTTTGAGGAAGGATTTCAGGAGTGATATATATAGATGGTGGCTATAATTTTAAAGAATATTTTTCAGATTTAAATGATAAACAGTGTTGACAGCACTTACAGCAAGCGCTGTGGAGTAAGAGTTGAAGATGTTTAGACGGAATTCCTTCAGAGCCTTTTTAAACACAACGTCAACCATGGTGTCCTTCTTACTGTCCTCTGTGTCCAAGTCGTTGATCTAAAATATTACACCAGAATCATATTAGCATGAATATAGACTAACTGTAGCTCTGAACACATTTGTAAGTTCAGACATAAATAATGAAAGTTCAAAACTGTATTGTGTTTTAGATGTTGAAGTACACCTACAAGCCATATAATGATCTTCACCTATTTGTATCAAAAGAATAACAGAGAGTATGTTGTACCTTCTTCATTAGGAAGTCGTTCATGCTCCTGTAGTCGCTGGTGCAGGTGAGGATCTGCAGCGCGTCGTTCTGCCACTGAGCAGGTTCTAGAGCCACACTAGTGATTTTAACACTACGCCTTCGTTTCACCTTGGGAGACGGCTCCTTGTTCTCCTTCAAGTCTCTCAACCCGCGATCCAACATCAGATCAGGACTGCAGGGGGGAGACATGTTTTCCTGACCTGAAAGTGTGAAAGAGAATTCTATTCAGTGATACTTCGGTGGGAGTGACACTAGATTAAAACAAAGGAAGTTCAGCTGCATTCAAAGATTTCAAAATAACAGTATTAATAGCGTCCAACATCTGCTATTGTGTAATTGATTATATGACAAGTCCTTAAAATTAATGTGTTTTGGATTTTGGATGACACACCATCTCCCAGCAATGGCCCAGTGTCTCCGTAGTCTCCATCCAGGGAATCAGCCCCACAGATCAGCTTTTCTCTGGATGTCTTCTTATCCCCATACTTGTTCTTGCCCCAGAAACGCATCTTACGAACCCTGGACAAAATTGAGAAACATTCTTTGATTACCTATGAAAATATAAATAGCTTTAACTTACAAGTACCAAAACAGTCCTTAACAATTTTCATTAAGGCAAAAACTTATAGAAAAAATTATGATAACGTAAAACCAACCTTCCATCTTGTGAGTTCTTGCGCAGTGAGTCCACTTTGCCCAAATCTCCTGACGACATGGCTTTGTGCATCTTCTTTTGCTCCTCAGAGCCTGCAAGCTGAAACAACACCAGGTTGGACAGCTTGTTAAAGACTTGGCAAAACCAAAGAAAAGGCTTTCCATGTGGTAAACTATTTTCTGATCTGAGGACTAGTTCAAGCCAGTAGATGGCAGCATCACATCACTGGAGCTGCACCAGTTAAACTGTACATTTTTACCACAGTTCAGTCAAGTATCTGTAAATGCTATGATCATCATATTACAAATACATAACACCAAACATAATACTTTTGAAGTAAAACTACATTCTTCAACAAGGAACAACTGAACAACAAAGAAAGGAATCATTAAAAGACAGTAGGAGTTTGTAAAGTGGTGAAGAAAAGAAAGTCACTTGACTTTCTTCATCTTTTTTCAAGGATTCCCAAGGCTTGACTTGTGACTAGTGCTACGTGTAAAGACAGAAAATATAACCAAGTGACATGCAAATAAGGAGAAATCAAGGTGAAATGCCACAGCTGTGAGAGAAAGAGAAGCCAAATCATGTTAGAAAAGCTACTATGTTAAAGGCACATTTGTTTTAAGGGAAAACACATTTCAAAAATTGCCCTGCATCTATCATGATGCGTAAAGTCAAATAAATATTCACTGTTGATAATGAATTCAGGAGGAGTTGTCAAACCAATAAAGTATTGGATTTATTGGTTGATTGACAGCCTTGAGTTAATGTCTTTAAATGAGAGGAATATTTGCATTATACATAAAATCCCAGTACTTCTGATATTTTATTGGAAGGGTAGTGTTTTATTACACAACATCATTTTAGCAGGTATTTCAAAATGTCTTTGAAATACCTGCCTTGAAATATCTTTGAAAGGTCTTCCACTCACACACTTTTAGAAAAACAGAAGTTTCAGTCAGAGGTGTGATCAAGATCTATATGCTCTTTCTGGTGAGGGGGTTAGAAATGTCAAAGAGAAGTCACACTTTAACAAACGTAGAGAGGGCCACTGTTGGCTTGGATGGCGCCTGTTACCATGTCTGAGTCACTGAAACAGGACTCTCCTAAGCCCACCTCCGTGGAGCTCTGTTTGGAGAGGGGTAGAGTGTAATGGCGGGGGCTGAGGGGGCTGTCGCCTTCATAATCATCCTCGTCTGAATCGCCCCCAACTGAGTGGATGGGGGAGCGGGTGAGGAAGTCGGAGCGTGTCCGTGCCATTCTGGCTTTCTTTTTTTGGCCTGCTCTGCCAACCTGGAGTTTACCAGAAGTGATAACAGCATGTTTAAATGGTGCCTTTGAAAATCTGTAGAAGAGCTTCAATGCTTTTTGTTCTTCATGTTGGTCAGCTGTGTCGTTTTTAGTCTAAGATTGGGAGATATCCTTCCAAGAATCATTAATTAATTCACAACACAAAAAGCACTCCTGCAAACTTGAAAACACATGCGGTATGTCTATTTTCCTCAAAGATAAAAGGAGAGATTGCTTACATTTGTTCCTTTAGAAGGCTTGGTGACCACCGGTGAGGGTCCTTCTCTGGCAACGGCTAAAGGTGTTTCTTTAGTGACAGCATCACTGTCTGACCTGAAAAATACAACATAAATACAAAATGTTATCTATGTAATGAATGCAAATAAATAATTTATTAAGTGGCAACCAAGAACAAGGGTATCAATGAAAATTTCACTAAATACACATTTAAGGCATCTTGCAAATTAGTAATAAATTTTTCAGCAAATGAGCCAATCCCAATGAAAATTGGCGCAGTCTATGAGTTACTTTCAGCTCATTCATCTCAGCATCCCCGTGTCAGATCCATATTGTGGGGTAGCATCTGCAACAGTGTCTCTGTAATACTGACACTCGCACCGAAGTAAGACATTTTCAAATTCTTCACGTATTAGTCTAGATCTTGGGTCCTTGTAAACAATTTATTTTAGCATGATTCATTTCAGTTATTTCTTTTATTCTAAATGGAAACTTAATTTGTTGACCGCTTCAATGTCAACTTATTTCTTTCATTTTCTTATTTGTCTGTTTGTTTGATTATGGGTATTGTAACCTTGCTTATTTTTTCTTTTCTCTCTTTGTATTTTTATTTATAGTATTCCTACAAAGATTTGTATCAAAAACATTTTAAAGGTTTTAAAAACATGAACAAAAAATGATTACAGTTGAAACCACTTATAGTGATCACGGTTACAGTGATCCAACTGCTTTTATGGATCATAAGTTTGGGACAGAATCATTCCTATACAAATGTTGTTTAAATAATTTGCTTATAGTAATCAAGTAGTTCACTTGCAAGTTCAAGATGGTTCATTTTAACCATGAAAACATACGGGGAAAAAAATCTGAATATGTTATCAGATTTTTCAAACTCCTCTACGTATTACTCACATTGTAAATGTCACTTTGTCGTTGGGAGAGAAGAAGATGTTGCCCGGCTTATCCATCATACTAACTTTGTTGCCTTGATTACTTGTTGGCTTCTTGGTAGTGGTTCTCACTCTGGTACCTCCTCCATCCTTGGACTCCAGCGTGAGTTTGGGTGCCCAGCCCTCAGCAACAGGCCTGCGTCTTTCTCTGGGAGTAGAAGCAAGTGGAGGAGGTAGCTGGGGGTGAGGGGCATGGCCCTGGATGTCTTTACCTGGGGGAGAGTCCTCTGATGGGGCGGTGGAGTCCGACGATGTTCTGGCATGAGGAGCTACCCTTGCGGTTCTCTCAATAAGCAGGGAACTGGGTCTAATGGGTTTGGTGAAGGTTGCTGTTCCACCAAGATCTTGTCCACCCTGTCGAATTTGCTGTATCCTGTGCAGAGCTTCTCCTCTTTGTTTCTCAAACATTTCTCTCTCGTACTGAGCGAAGTGAAGGCGCTGCCGCTCCAGCACTTCTTTCTGTTGTCTGATCTGCACCATCATCTCCTTTTCATTCTGCTGCTGCTGATTGCGCTGCCTCTCCTCTTTCTCCTCATTTAGTCGCACCAGCTTCTCTATGACAGCCTGGTTAGCCTGAGGGACAGAGGTAGAAACAGGGACAGAACCCTGAGGCACAGGAGCTGGGTCTTGTTTCTGTGGTGATGGTGTCAACTCCCCTGTCTGGGCTGCGGAATCTCTAACCTCTACAGGGGGACGGACAGTATCGCTCAACGCTTCACTTAGTTGGGTTTCCTTCTGCATACTGATGACCACTACCACTGGTCGACGCGCTGACTCTCGTCTTTCTTTGAGAGGCTTGGTAATAGTGGTGGTGGTGGGTGCAGAGACGGCTGCCTCTGTGTTTTGTTGAGGCTCTTCTGCAGGACGACAAGCGATGGCTGTGCTGCTCTCACTAGCAGGGACATAAAAGGTAGGGAGGTAGTTCTCGATTTTGGGCGGATGTGTAGGGGCAGAGGGGGCTGCCAGATCCATTTTGCTCTGGCCCTGGTTTTCTGAGTGGGCACCAGCATCAGAAAACTCTGTCCTATGTGGTTTAACTGGCTTTGGGCTTGTTGAAACCTCCACATTAGGCTCAGGTACTGGAGCAACTAAAAGAAGAGGGGAGCCGGGCTCCCTACTGTCTGTCACCTCTGCTGTAGCCTTGGGTGGCTCCTCATCCATGCTGAGAAGCTCAAAACTGCCTTTGGAGCTCTGGCTGTCGGGCGTGCCCTGGGGTGAACGAAGAGGTGGGGTTGCAGGGGCCACCAGCTCGACAGACCAACGTCGTTCCTCAGAAGGGGACGAGGCTCCACCACTGGTTGCCCGGACCTTGAGGAGCTCCAGGCTGAACTTGGCCTGCTCCAACTCTCTCATCCGCCGGCTCTCTCTCTTGGCCCGGGTGGTTTTCTGGCTGGGCTCATCGACAATTCTGGACCTCTTTCGAACCACCACAGTGGATGTCTGGATTAAAGCAGAAGCTTCAGTTTGCGTCTTAGAGGGGCTCTCTTTTGTGCTAGCATGTTCTATTACTTCTCCTTCCTTAACTGCGCCCTCGTGGCTGCTGAGGATTTGGAGGCTCCTTTCTCGTTGCTCGTAGGAACGATCCTCCCATCTGCTGAGGTCCAACCCCAGGATTCTCTCAGGTGGCACCTCCTCTTCTTCTGGAGAGAGAGTGACCTGGCCATTCTGTAGTTGAAGCAGCTTCTCCTGCTGCTCCTTCTTCTCCCTCAGTTTCTGTTCTCTCAGTTTTTGGAAGCTGTCAACAAAGAAGGCATGGTTACAACTTCAGCTGATATAAAACTACTTCCTACTACTATTAATAAAGATACATTTTAAACAGCTAAATTTACTCATAACAAATTATAACTATGTCCAGTATTCACCAGTCTGATTCAATTCTTGCTCTCAGAAGCTCAGCAGATTGTAGAGCTACTTTGGTTTGGATAGCTTGCGTAATGGCATGCTCTTACCAAGCCTGGTCTATAAGCACACTAAACAATGTCCAAATACACTGCAGGAGCTTTGTGCAAAGATTAATCTGGTTTTTCACCAGCTTGATGCAGTCACCAACCCTTAGAAGTTATTTTCAGAGTATTTAGAAGCCTTTATAAATATTAAAATGTTTGCCTTTGTTAAACTAAACTCATTCACACTTAAATTTTCCAGCAATAGGAAAACTTATCTGGGGCTATTGCTCAAGGTAATAGGTGTTCTATAGCATGGCTTACCTCTGCCTGGCAAGGTGGCCTCTGCTAATTGCTTGTAGTTGTACCACGGCACCATATAGACGCAAGTAGGCTTGTCTGGCTTGATGACAGCGCCAGGCCATCTGAATAACCACAGCTGCTGTGCAGCGCCGGTAGAGCCATAACCTCCACGCCCTCTGCAGCACCAGAGCAGCCTCCCTCCACAGCCTGAACCTCCGGCGCTCCCTATAACCTCGCCAGTGTGTCTGCAGACACAAAGCTGCCCCCTCCTGCACAGGGCCATAATCCTCCTCCACCTCCTCCTCCTCTTCTATGGATCGGTATAAACGCCACCATTTCTGTAAGGAGAAGATGGTACTGATGTATTATTTATAATTCTATGACGTTGTTTCCCCTTTAGTCAACCATGTTCATGTTCAATAAGTACAATAACTCTACTGGAAGTATAAGTGTCTTTACTCAATGGTTAATCTCAATTTTGTTTTATGGGACTTATTATAATTTATAGTTTAGGAACAAGCTAAAATAAAACATCCTTGATATCAACGTACCATTCTAACCTTTAATTTCAAATTAAAAACTGTTTATAATTTCTACCCTCCTTCATCCCTGATACTGAGCAGATTTATTAACAAGTCAAAGATAGATGACATACACTCCTCATTTCCCTACAGACCTGCTGACTCCTCCATTCCTACATCCACCTCTTCATCTCCAGCTCTAACCGTCTATTCACTGCTCTCCCAAAGAGGTACTAAACCTGGTTCCTGGTTTCCTTTCCTCAACCACCTCATCAATACCTCTCTGACAAAACAAACAAACCCTTTCTCTATCTCTTATTGTTTCTGAATCTAGCACTTGAAGCAGTTCAGCATATTTGAATTGAATGTACTTGCATGATGGTTGCAATTTTTGGGTTGTATCCACATGGTTCAAATGCCCTTATTGTAAGCTGCTTTGGATAAAAGCACCAGCTAAATAAATGTAATGTAATGCTGCAGTGTACTAGGATGGGGCAGTATACATGAAATCAATATCATGACATTACTACCAATAAATTTACAATATTTTTCAGTTTCACAATATTGTAAATGTAAGCAAAATCATAGCATATGGTGATAAATGCAGTGTTTCATTATTATGCATTACATCATTAAAACAAAAACTTTAATAACTTATTTAATTTAGCCTAGTTTTTAATTACACATGCTTAGATTCATTTATTTGGACAACATCATTTTGTAAAACTAATGATATGATCATATTATCACGATACAATTAAATAAAAAGTGATTTAAATACACAGAAGCAAAAGATGGAAATTAATAAAAGCAATTATGATGAAAGGCATTGTACTGTACCTGGATGCGGACTGCTGCTTCTCTCATCCTGACAAACTGCTTCCTCTCCAGCCGGGCTCTAAATCGCCGCTGCAGCGTGACAATATATCTAAGAACTTCCCTGTGGAGTAAGGCCTGTAGCCGCTGACGCTCAGCCTCCCGCAAAAACACCTGAGGGGAGGGACCATTATGGAATCAGCAAAGGGTAACACACATGTTTAATGAAGAATGGGGTTGTCTGGCCACACACAAAGAAGTGTACACACACACACAAACACACACACACATACAGACTCTTTCAAAAAGCTCAACTCACAAGCACACATACAAACCTCTGAAATCCCCGGCCAGATACATGGTCACAAGTATGTCAGGTATGATCCTCTAATTATATAGACAGCGTCCTGAAGGCACGGACCCCTCCATCATGACTCATTCATACCGTGGACTTACCCACATCGAATATGGGGCACTGTCTTCATTACATAGTTTTTTCAGTGGGAGGATGCTTTCAGGTAATATGAGGTTATTTCCAACACTATCCCTTCCCTATGTCTGAGACCTCTATTTATAGTTTTAACAGCTTAATAAACTAACCGAGTTTGAGTAATTTAAAAACCCCACATTATTTTGAGCAAATCAATTTTGGGTCTTGGGCTGTGCATTTTCCACATTCTTAAACGCCTCAACATACAGCAACAGAACATAAAATAACACACAGTATAATGAGCCTTAAGATTTTCTTTTTGCCAATGTCACCAAACAAAGACATAACAGAAGAAGGCCTACCTTTTCATTTTACATCTGGATTATACATTGTGACTTTTTTTTTAACTGATTAAACCCTGATATTCCTCTTCAATTTCAATTTAATTAAATTTTTTTGAAGTAAGTGTAACAAAAATATTTCTACACCATACGTCAAACTTAGACTGTGTGAAATATTAAAAGTCAAACCTTAACTGCAACACTGCATGGTAGTTTTGGGATGACCAATAAAATCTAAACATAACATCTGAGATCTGAACAAAGCTTAAGTAAGAAACATTAATTTGTAAAAGTGAACAAAATATATTATTCAGAAAGAGATAATGTGCATTATTAGAAAGAGATGTGACTCCATGTTTTACTGGATGTATTTATCAGCTGATTTAAAAGAACTGAAATGAGGAAAGGAGAAGGCAGGGTTATTACCATTGTCTTTCCCACTTGGTACCCATCTGGATCCAGATCAAGCTGGCCCAGAGACTGCTGGATGCCCTCTCTGGAGGCACTGGTGCCCTCTGGGAGTAGCACACAAAAGTGATGGACAAAATCCTATCAAGAGAAAAGGGCTGATGATGAGAAATATGCTTATTACCCCACAGTATCTGTTCTGTTTATGTCATGTGCAAGATCTCTGTCTAAAATGTTTACTTTCTGCTAAAGCCATCAGTTTGATTCTGATTCCAGTACAGGATAAACTGGTTGGAGATGTACACACTGCTGCCTTGAATTTGAAATATATCTCTTGACCAGCAACAGAAACTGAAGCAGCCTCCTGCAGCATCTCTTGCTCAGAAGAAAAGCTGTCACGGCACATGTGTTTTCAGGTAAAAGTCTGTGCTATCCATATTTGCAGGGGTTCAAACATCATGGCATAAATATGCTGAACTCCCACTCTTCAAACTGAGGCCCATTGTCTGAATTCAATATACTCCGCACCCTGGGCTGTAGGGGGTGGACAGGGAAACAGATGCTGTGTTTATACAATTACAAGCATAGGGAGTGTTTCACAGACCCAGGGACAAAAGGGAGGCTCTGTTCTGAAGAGCAGAGTCCTCCAAAGTGATACCATGCCCAAGATATTTCTCATTAGTGCTGACCGTAGCACTAAATATGTTTGGAGGAATTTGGGGTAAATGATGATGTCTGATGCTAAAATCATCTGAGTGAGCTCATCAGAACAATTATAGTCTTATGAATTTTGCACTCAGTTATGTAGACTTACAACTAAAAGTCACTAATTTTATATATATACACACACACACACACACACACACATATATGTATATTCAAATGTTAGTGGGGACTATCTTCTAGTGGTGGAAGAAGTACTCAGTAAAACTACCAGTACAACAATGTAAAAATATTCCATTGCAAGTAAAAGTCCTGCATTCAAATTCCTACTTCAGTAAAAGTACAAAAGTAAATCAGCAAAATATACTTTCAGTAATCAAAATAATCAGGAAAATGGCCTTGTTGAGTGATTATATATTACACAATTATGTTGTTAATACTGACACAACAATGCGTGAACAGTTTTACTAAGCCAGATTTTTAACTACTTAACATACAGTTTGGTCATTTGGTCCTAGAGTTCCCAACGTAGCGGTTAATTTTAAAAGTAACTCGTATTCATAGGTAAATGTTGTGGTTCAATATTTCCCTCTGAAATATAGTAGAGCAGCCATATAAAGTAGCATGAAATGGATACACTTGAGTAAAGTACACTGCAATTTTCTAGTCAAGCTGAAAAATAGTGAAAATGTCCAGGAGGACCGTGGCTTATCCCGAGTAACTGGGATGTTCTGGACAGAGACTGTGCTGTTAAAAATTACTTTATGATATTCCATTACTCTTGATTGTATTTGGGAGGGAGCAGGAGTCTTAACAGCAAACCTGAGCAAATAAAACCTTAACTATCTGCATGACTACAGTACACACCACTATGGTCACATGGGAAAATAAGATGCGATTTGGTGACTTAAGCTTTGGCTAAAACCTTCGACATTACTGACATGAGTGAACATTCAAGACCAACAAATGGAAATGAATGTAAGAATAAACTGGAGTGGGAGTGAGCCTCTCCCAAACGTTTTCCCAGCCAAAGACTCACTCACAACATGATCTGTCATAGTCATAAAGTATTTCACACAGGGTTGACGTCATTCTTATGAGAGCCAGTTAAGATGGCTGCCACCTCACGTCCGTCTTAATTCCCTCTTGACACACATGAATCCCAGTTCAAACAACATCAGCGACATGTTTCTTGGAGATGAATTGATCACTGGCAGCTAAACTGTCGGAAGTGTTGTTTAAGTTTTGGGATGTGAGTAGTGAGATCGATAGTGCATCAGTGTTCTGGCCAGCAAACGCCTGCACAGAGGAAACATGTTAATGTGATCTGCTGCTGAACTCATTTTTACCATTTGGCTTACTGAGAGTTTGCCTCCTGGATAACTTGATACTTTGCAAAGACTGAAAAATGGTAAATCTATTATAACTCTCAGGAAACTGACTCTCGAGAATAAAAGGCTGTGTTGTAAACTGGGCTTGAGGAGTCTTAAATGTGGCCATTTATCAGGTTTGGAGGCTCTGATGAAAATATATTATTAGTTTCATTATGGGCAGTGGAGAATCCAGTACTTATGGAGCTTGATTGACTGAGATTAAAGGAATAAAGTCCAGATATCTTTGCATCTGCTGCTGAGCACCATTCGATTTATAATTGTACTAATGTGGAATAGTGGTGGAAGCTGTATTCAAATACTTACGTAAAAGTAATACTTCAGTTTAAAAGTACTCAGTTACAAATTTAAGTCCTGCCTTCACAATTCTACTTAAGGAAAAGTACAGAAGAATCACAAGCAAAATGTACTTAAAGTAACATAAGTAAAAATATTTATAATGCAGGAAACCTTGTCAGTGTAACTTATTTATGTTATTACTAATGTATTAACATGTAAGTAGTATTCTAATGCTGTGAGTGTTCAAGAGGGAGCTAATTTTAACAATTTAAATACTGTTGGGTAGTTTAGCTTTCAAATTAATGTAGAAGAGTAAGTAGTAGAGTACAGTATTTCCTTTTGAAATCCAGCATAACATGGAAGTACTCAAGTATAGTACAAGTAATGCATCTCCAAATTGTACCCAAGTACAACGCTTGAGTAAATTTACTACTAAGTGGTGACCTACATTTTGTAGGTGCCCCTTTTGCCACCAAACAGCCCTGACCCGTTAAGGCATGAACTCCACTACACCTCTGAAGGAGTGCTGTGGTATCTGGCACCAAGACGTTAGCAGCAGTTCTGTAAGTTGTGAGGTGGGGCCTCCATGGATCGGACTTGTTTGTCCAGCACATCCCACAGATGTTCGATTGGAATGACATCTGGGGAATTTAGAGGTCAACATCTTGACCTCGTTGTGTTGCTCAAACCAGTCCTGAACCATTTTTGCTTTGTGGCAGGGTGCATTATCCTGCTGAAAGAGGCCACTGCCATCAGACAATACTGTTTCCATGAAAGGGTGGTCATGGGTCTGCAACAATTCTTATGTAGATATAATGTGTCAAAGTAACATCTACATGAATGGCAGGAACCAAGGTTTCCCAGCAGAATATTGCCCAAAGCATCACACTGCCTCAGATGACTGTCCTTCTTCATGTGGTGCATCCAGGTGCCATGCGTTTCCAAGGTAAGCGACGCACACAAACCCGGCCATCCACGTGATATAAAAGAAAATGTAATTCATCATACCAGGCCACCTTCTTCAATAGCTGCATTGTCCACTTCTGATGCTCACGAGGCCATTGTAGGCGCTTTCGTCAGTGGACAAGGGACAGCATGGACATCCTGAAAGGTCTGCAGCTACGCAGCCCCATATGCAACAAACTGTGATGCACTGTGTGTTCCAACAGCTTTTTATCAGAACCAGCAGTAACTTTTTCAGAAATATGACCTACAGTTGCTCATCTGCTGGATCAGACCACACGGGCCAGCCTTTGCTCCCCATGTGCATCAATGAGCCTCGGCCGCCCATAACCCTGTCACAGGTTAACCACCTTTTCTTTCTTGGACCACTTTAGGTGCGGACCACTGCAGACAGGGAACACCCCACAAGAGCTGCAGTTTTGGAGATGCTTTGTCCCAGTCGTCTAGCCATCACAGATCTCAAATCAAATCTCTCACCTAAAAGTCGCTCACATTCTTACGCTTGCCAATTATTCCTGCTTCTAACACATGACCTTTAAGGACAAAATTTTCCACTCTCTACCTTATAAATCCCACCCACAGACAGGTGCCACGGAGATAATCAGTATTATTCACTTCACCTGTCATGGTTCATAATGTTATGGCTGATCAGTGAAAATGGACTGTTGAGAAAAATTGGACTACGATGTATAAAGAGAATCTCCAGGGTGTAAATGTGTGTGTGTTACCTTGAAGCTGTACTTGATGTTGTAGCCTGACTGCCGGATGCGCACAGTCTCCAGCATACCTGTGTAACGCAGCTGCCTCAGCACCAGGTTATCATTAAACCTTAAGGGCAGCTGAGAAAGAGAATCGAGGAGAGGAGAGAAGAGGAGAGAATGACAGAGAAAGGAGAAGCGACATGCGGCAGAGGTTACAGAGAGAAGTGGCGGAAATGATAAACAGCTTTAGAGAAGTTCAAACTTCAAAGGAAATGAGAAATGCTTTGAAAACTAAACCAAAACAGTCAAAGCGGCTGTAGTCTGGAGTGAGCACACTGTACCTTCTCAGCATTGGAACGGATGCACTTGACAAAATAAGGCTCAGATTGACCGAGAGTCTCCATTAGCTTATTTAGGGAGGCCTACGGAATGAGACACAAAAACAAGAGGTCAGGCACACTGCTTTTGCTGCTGCACAGTTGTTTGACGGAAGGCAAAGTCTGGTCAATCTCTGAGTAAAATTCTTTGCTGTAACATTGCAATATTAGAAGTCGCTGCATAGGATCATAAATACTAGCAAGAAAAAGACAAAGAAGAAGAAACCATGTGCATGGTATTTCCATGTGCAATTAATGTGTGTAAACATCATGCACATGTGTGTCAGCATGTGTGTGCGATAATTCAGTGGCAGGAGGAATTCAGTCTCCTCCTCCATTGGAGATTAAAGCAATCAGCGCAGCACAGGATGTGGGAAGTGAAGTCATCCACGAACTAGGGCCAGGGCTGGCTGCCAGAGGGGCCTCAGCACTCATCTCTACCTCCAACAGCCAGAGCATAGAGTTCACTTTCAAAGAAATCAGGATGAAAATAGAAGTGTGTAGTTGTTTAAGTTTGTTCGGACGTTTTTGTGTTACCGGCTGCCAATGAAAGCTTTTTTGGCCTAAAGATAACCAGATTATTCTGTATGTTACTGGTAGTTGTCAGTCTCACTTATCTCAGGTTTGGACCGTCTTTTAATAGAAAATCCACTGCTAAGATTCAAAAAAAGAGCAGAGCACCAACATTTAACCGATTTCAGGTTAAATGCTGGTGCTCTAGGAATGAGCACTAGGTGGATTTCTATTGTCGCGGTCTCTCCAACTAAGTGAACATTACTGAGAGATTTCAAAAGGGTGTGTCAGTAACAGAGAAAAGTCAAACTTTCTACTTTCTCACCCAATCATAAGTATTTTTTATGAGCCATTTATAAAACTTTTTTTTGTTAAATTTCCAGACACGATGTCATGCATTTAAGACTTTTGGGTGGGTGTGTGAACTTTATAAAAAACTACAAAAACAGGGATTGGACAGTGGACAGTAATGGCTGTGGGCAGGCAGAGAAATGGAGAGATGTTTTCACCCACAGCCAGTTGGAAAGGACACACCATGTTTTTATCATATTCACAGCTGGAGGGAGATTCCTCGGCCCAGCTCAGGGTAATCGTGTTATTTTTATGGTGAGAGCACTGACTGGCAAATCAGTCAGTGCTGCAGTATGCTACTGGCTCTGTGTGTGTGTGTGTGTGAGACCTGGAACTGTGCGCTGATACTGGGTGGTTTCTTCTTCTTGTGGAGGTGAAGCAGTGACTTGGTGATGCGGTCATGAAGCGTCAGTTTGCTGAGGTATTTCAGTGACTTGACATCCAGCAAATGCTGCAAGTGTAAAGTAAAGGGTCAGCTGATAATGTAACACTACATTATAATCTATTCAAATAAATTAAAGATATCATGTACTGTACCTTCGGAAGAACTGACTTAGATTTGTAGTTTTTGTTCCTCCTGTTTACAAAAAACACAGTAAAGTCAGTCCCGCAGTCTCAACTATCTTGTGCACAGAGCAACATATCCCTCTTTCCATTCGTCTGATCAGCAGGTGAGGAGGGTACTTTTTTTTAATGTCAAGTGAAGGTCAACAAAGCATTGAATTAATTCCAGGAATTTTTCCCAAGAGGGTAATATCCCTGTCAAGGAAGTGGAACTTTATTCATCCCCCTTGGGGAAATTCTCTTTTCACTTGCTTCCATGCATAAGGAGGTCAGAGGTCAGGGTCAGCTACAGAACAGCACCCTTGGAGCTGGTAAGAATGCAGTGATCACAGAAGGACACTTCAGCAGGACAGATGTTTGCTGACACTGAGTTTAAAGGATGTCTCTAGGGCACTAGGCCCTAATGTTGACTAAAATCATGCTGAAAATGGATTTTACAATTAGAAAAAAGGCAGTAAGAAAAACATTAAAGAGTGTCTCAGTTAGAAAGAAACAGTACAATGAGGGTAATACTGAATAATATCTAAATCCGTGTTAAAGTGGAGCTTTATGGTGACTGTGGCTGCGTCTTTTTACTGACATGAGGATGTCATGAGCTCTCTCAAGGAGTTTGCTGCTGGCAGAGTTGACAAAGATGCCGTCTTCTTCTGTGGTGGAGCTGCTGGACGATAAGCGGCTCTGTCGACCCACGCGCCCGTTCCAGCCAAGGCCCGGAGAACCACTTTGGAGAAAACACACACAGACCAATAAAAGTGGTTACCTTATGAAAATCTAAACTTAGGTAATTGCTGACCATAGTCTAGGAACATTTAAATTGCAAACTGAACTTCATATCTATCTTGAATGATAGAGCTATAGATTATTAAAATTAAATTTTTTTGTGGAAAAAGGATGGGCATTGATAGCATGTGTCTGACAAATATTGAACGTAACCACAACTACATCTTTAACACACAGTCAGCATAGTCCCACTAGGCAGATTTCCAGGGCTATCATGGAAAAACAACTATATATGTTTACTTGTGATCGCCTTTATGTTTTTGTCAAGCTTGCAGCTGCAGTTACATAAAAAACAGTGAAATATAAGTAAAAGATGATAACACAGGGATCATAGATAGAGTTGTGAAAATCGTCATTATAACATTGTATGTTGAGTTTTTTGTCAGGTGCGGTAGCAGCCTGGTCTTTCCAAAAAAAAAAAAAAGCTACAATTAATCATTAAAATATTAATAATGTCTGAGACACAGCTTTACAGACGATGTCTCTTTACTTGTCAACACACATTTTGTTGCAGTAGTGTGACAGAAATGAACAGATCATTTGGGATAGCAAGAGTTTGTGAACTACTTCAGATACATTAAAAATATGTGTGTAGGGTTTCAGACACAACATCAAATACCCAATGCCACTCTGGGGCACAACACATAGCTATGGGAGAGGGTGAGGTGAGGGTGCTTTTGGCAATTCTCACATAAATGGTATGTAGTTTCTAGTCTTTCCGACCAGTCAAAGCACTTTGAGCACATTCACACAGCGCATATTCATGGCTAAAGCACATTTGCCATCAGAAACACAAATTAACACATTCATACGCATTCACACACTGATGGCTATGCAGGAGCGATTTGGGGTTCAGTATCTTGCCCAAGCATACTTCAACATGCAGACTGGGGTGCTGGGGATCAAACCACCGATCTGATATAGCTCAACGATAGAGAAGTGTAACCTATACAATTTTAAATTGCATCAATGCAACACGGCTTTGTATTTTGTATTTGTAAAGGGGATATTTTTTTCCAGAAGGGATGTCACCAGCAGGGGCAGTAGTTTCCAAGTTTTTTCCCCTGAAAGGAGGGAAATCTCACACAGAAGTTGACCCCGTTTACTGAAGCCTCAAAGGGTTTAAACCTCAAGCCTCAAGGTGAACCCTAACCACCTGCCCAGAAGACAAACAAAAACACGGGCGGTCAGGTCATGGTTAAAACCATTAACCATTTTGAACTATTTTAGCCCAGAGGAGAAAAGAGAGAAATGGCAACTGAGGTACCAAATAAAAAACAAGAAATAAAAGACAATCTGCAACATCACTGTTCAGAGAATCTGAATATAGCTGTGGCAAAAGAAATGTATCTCTGATCCAGCTCGATCGATTGGGCCACGTTATTTTGTTTCCGTATCATAATTTATAGGTTTTCAAGAATTTCCTGAATTGGAGTTTACAAAGACAGTACAGTACACTGCTCCACTATCCCTACTTCCCTCCACAGTCCCAGAACAGAAGTACAGATACATATGATTTGTACTACCATATATACTCTATCCTTATATAATGTTAGTGTTTAAGTGGATATTGTGTTACCTAAACAGAAAATGTATTTTGAAGCCATAACATGTACTAAAACATAAGCACAAATTTTCTGTATCATCTGGCCTACCATATAAAGATGAAGAGAGATAATTTCTCCCCAGTTGATCATCAATCTCAGTAAGTGGTGATAGTACAATATGCTTCTTGTTGTGACTGTTCATCTCCATAGTCTCTCTGAGAGTCCCATAAAGCACTGCACTGTCCAGCCGACAAGCACCCTGCAGGGACTGAATATTTATCACTCTCCTCTCCAACGCATAGCTCTGACTTTACATCACAGAGGAAGCAGCTGCACAGGGTTTAGTGCTCTCCTAGTATTTAGAGGATGAGTGTGCATGAGTGTGTGAGGGAGAGAAAGAGACAGAAAGGAAGGCAGAGGTTGCAAATAACATTAAGTTTACCAGCCCCAGACTGAGCTCCTGTGTAACAAAAGCCGTCTTGTACGAGCTGTTCTACGCTACCAGTTGTGGTCGTGGGCTGCTAATCTCATGGTCCACAGCTAATTAGAGGAGGTGGTGGACCGAGGCCTCGGTGAGGTGGTATGAGAGCAACGCTCGGGGTCACAGCACAGTCATTACTCTTTATTTTAAGTCATGCCACGTCAAACTCAGTGCCCGGAGGTGAATATCACTGCATGATGATTAAAAAAACTTTTACTTATTATTTAAAGTATAACAGAGCATCTAAAAGAAAGTATTAATGTATTTAGTGACAATGACAAGTTCCTGGGCTCTTTGTAACATGCATGTAAGATCAAATAAAGTTTACAGGTCTAGGGTTGAGGGCTCAAACAATGAACCATAACAGTTTGATTCATATGTATGTCTGTTTCCTAAAAGCTCTCTCGACTTGACCTGACAAGTGATTGGAAGCTTTATAAAGAGCTTGAAACACACTATTAAAACAGTACAGCACAGACTCTTACCGTGGTGATTTCTCATTGACGTTACTTCCCTGAAGGTCTGACAGTGGTGTTCGCGGACTCTTCCTGGCCACACCTGATCACGAACAGACACGTTGACATCAGGTGAAAGAACACAAAAACACACACTCACACACATACTCACAAAACAGACATAAAGACAAACAAATCCCTCAAACCCTTCTAAAGCAAAAAACACACTTCTTATACCATGTGAAACTCCAGTGTTACTGCAGTGAGTGTTAAGTGCCTTTTTGCTGGAAATATAATCTACTGCAGGTGATTTAATATTGAAACAAAGATCTGCAAGGTTAATAGTGAGTTGCTCGTTAGTGTCGAATTATGGAAGATGATACTGAAGAATTATTTAGTTTAGTGGACTGTAAGTTTGCTTAAAACCTTGATTAGTTATTTTAAATACCCATATTCAAAACACATTTTTCCAATAATCAGTTTTAATGACATAAAATTAAGAAAAAGTCAAAATTTAAAGCAGAAGGGGTTCAATTAAAGCTGCTTTGCTACAATACTACAGTGTGATGGCTGGGTTTTGGCAGTGTAAGCCTACATATGCTGTTGCTTACAGTTGCATTCCCTCTATACATACAGCCAATCAATCACAGTGATGAGAAATCAGAGAAATCTATAGTTTGTGTTACTTAAAGAGCAATCTGAGAGAGCAATTTATCAGGCGACTTTCCAGAATACCGTTTTCAGTTTCATCACTTTGCACAACATTTTCACTCTCATCTGGAGCTGCAAGGTGGCACAAAACAAAAAGACACAAATACATTTGAGTGTAATTAAATGTTTGTAGAGGAAAAGTGATCTTTGAAAGAAGTGTGCGAGGTCAGCTGTGTGTCCTGCACCACATGTAAAGCTGGCTGTGAGCAAGTTAGTGATAATAATACACACATCTATGTCCTGACTATGTCATACCTGTATGCCCCCTCAGTCTTCTATCACCATCACCAGCCTATGTGGTATTAGTGACAGACGAGTGCTGTGGTGGACAAGCAAATATACCCACTGGCCGACAGAAAGTGTAGCTGTGTGCCATTACTGACAAAAAAGAAAGTGATGGACACCGAGAGGTGTTACTGTGCTGTTTCCCCCAACCAAAAGAGCTGATACGACCGTGCATTTCTCTGTTAACTAGCAGTGTTAGTGACAGAATGGCTGAAGCATGCTAGTGAACAACATGCAAGACAAAACTAAGAACAGATACATGCAGGTGCACAAGAGAGGGGGGAGAGGGAGACAGAGGGAGCAGAGACCAACAAGCATCTAGTCTATTGATAGAAAATAAGAGTTGTAAATCAAATCACTAAGCAGAAAAAACTTTGTGAAACTATGTCTCTTTAAGTTATATTTTTATGATTTTGATCTCTTTTGGCGTGACTTTGGCTGCAGTACAGTGCAGGAAATGTGGCGATGTTGGTCAGCCTCGTCCCTACAGTTTCCCAAGTCATGGTTTAACATGAAAGTAGGAGGTGTTATTGTTGTATTGGCAGCCTTACTGTACTTCTCCTCTTTGCATCTCTGCAGGATCTCTAAGCTTCTCTGATGCACAGGGTGCTGCAGAAAGCTAAAACTATCCACACTTTTCAAAACTGCACAGGGAGCAGCGTCATCATGCCCTTGGAGAAGCAAAACAAAAGAAAAACACAGAAGAGAAAGAAAAAAATACACGGAAAGAGAAGGAGGGGGAAAAAAAGAGAGAAACGACAGATTAGACAGCGAAGAAAAAAGATCAAGAGATGCAGTCTACTGGATAGATACCTGTGCAAGACTTCAGAAGAAAAGATGATTGACATTCAAAAATGCAGTTGGTGGCAGCAGTACGATGTTTGTCACTTAAGTTCTGTGTGTAGGTGTTAGCCCCCCAAAGGCACTTCCATACAATGTCTTCTAAAAGTTTTTCTGAAACCTGATTCTACGGTCCTTGCCCTCTTTGACAAGGTAAGAGCATTTAAACGTAATTTAATTTACAACTTAGTCCATAATAATTTATATAAAAATAATTCAAAGTCTGCAAGTCAAAAATACATCTGTCATTTTGCATAAATATTTTAGAAGACCTGTTACAAGTTCCCTTGGGTGACACTGATATCTTTTCAGTTCAGGATTTCTAAAAGATTTCTAAGGAGAAGCAAAGGATACAAAACCTATTTTTACATAACATCTACATCAAGAATTAAGAGGACATGTCTGATTCATACAACAGCAGTGCTGAATCTGATGGGAATATCTACTACATATCAAGTACAGCTAGAATCAGATCTAAGGAAAAAGAAGGCATTCGTACAAAGACATAGATGAGAGAGACAAAGCGCAGGAGCTACTGTATACACATGGCAGCACTACTAGCACTATGCACACATACTACAGAGCGGTGTCTACAGAAAACAAAATATAGCGGAGATAAAGCAAACGATTGAATACTATACTACAATACTACAAAATTGTAACTGCATGGCATGTGAGCATATAGTACTGTGCACGGTAGTAAAACTGAAAAAAAAAGTTTATTGGCTGAACAAAACTCATTTGTTTTTCATTTATGCTTATAAGCTGTCTTCAACCAAGCTGTTTCAGAGGCGACAGATACATTTTGTCTGCTGACAGCCAATAAACTTTAAAAAATAAAAAGTTTCAAAGACATAGCAAGAGGAGGATAATAAAAAAAAAAAACATTATTCCCTTCTCTAAATTTAGCAGTTTACCACTAGTCTTACTGTACCTGTAATGCTCACAAGCCATTCAGTGAACTTAATGTCCTTTCCCTCTTCTTTGGTTGTGTTTTGACACATCCTGACCTACACAAAAACTACAGACAGCACCTATTTTCAATATTTATTCTAATATAATCTATCACTGAAAATCATTAAGCTGCAAAACACTGTAATTAACAATATAGCCACAAATGAAACATCTCACCATGTGTTGATGACAGATATATATAGTATAAGATTTATTTGACTTTCTAAGCTCATATAAGATTTCCCTGTCTATCTTCTATATCAGAACGTCATCTCACCACTATAATGTGCATCTTAGTAGAGTGTCAATTATTGCGAGACCTCACCAGACTTCTTCTGCGTGTGTCTCTTCCCAGCCTCTCTGAAAGCCACCAGGGCCCTGAAGTAAGCTCGGAGGACCGCCCAGCGGAAAGTGGCTGACGGGTCAATGCCAATCAGCCCGCAGATAAAGGCGTTTTTGCTGCTCTTCAGTAAAGCTACGATGTCCGGGCGCATGTGGTCTGTGTTCTTCTCCCTGAAATCCTGTATAAGTGAGATATACAATGATGTTTGTTTATATTATTAGATCCCATTAGCTTATGGGGTCCACACATTAAAAGTTGTCAAAATAAAGAATTAAAACAATTATGAAAGCAAGGTCCAAAAAACAAAAACAGTAATATTAATACATTTTATAAACAAAAATAAGGAAAGAATATGTCAAATGAGCACAAAAAAGTAACAGCTCATAATTACAACAATACAGCTACATTTAAGTACATACCCACCCATAAAATTCATTAAAACTAAACACATTAGATATATAAAGTTGTGCAGTCTGCTTTAGATACAACTGCATTTGTTTCTTGAAGGTGTAAGCACTTGTTGATTATCTAATACAGATGGGTGACTTGTTCCATTCCACAGAAGCCCTGTACATTACAATATATTCCAATCTTGAGCTGTGGGTAGTGACCAAAAGAATGACATTACGGATACAATCAGCCGAAATGAGTTTCCTCTGTAGGATGGCTGAGCTCAGCCTCAAAGGTAGCTCTGAGATCCGGAGGGAGCTCGGAGGGGGGTATTTCTACAAATACACTTCTTATTCATACAAGTTATTATATCCATCATTAGTACACGCTTTATTTAATGTCATATTTATAGATATGAAAGACACATTTAGGAGCAACAATCACTATTTAATGTAATATTAATGTGACATGATGTCCCACAAAGTCCTTATAAACATGTTTTACTACATTTTTTTTGGTGTGTAACTTCCAGCTCCACTTTAAAGAGAGCGCTGATGTTTTAATTTCAGTCCAAAAAGTTAGAAATCCTTCTTTTGCTGTTTTAAAACCCACTGAATAAACTGGAAAACACATGTTGATCAAAGTCGAAAGTTAGAGAAAGAAACTATTTTCACCAAACTACAATTCTTTAGGGGGATGTTATCCAGATCCTTCTACATTACTAGTTGTAACAATTTTCCGCCCACACCAAAAGCTCAAAAACAACAAAAATAAAGTTGGGATTGGGTGAACTTTCTCTTCCCTTTCTGTCTAATCAATAACTAGGTGTGGAAGTGAAGATTACACTGACCTTGACACTGTACTTGACCTTGCCAGCATAGTGTCGGATGATGAAGGCGGACTCCATGACAGCGGGAAACTCGATGTAGCTGTTCCCCTCATGCTGCCTCTTGAACTTATCCAACAAAGTCTGGTTGGTGGCTTGAGGGAAACTGAAATAAAAAGGAAAGAATATTTTGATTTGAACAACAATAGGTTTTTAATAAAAACTGTTGACGCATTTGTTTAAAGCTGTCAATCGCATCGTGAATACTGCAGTATGAAACCCAGTGAAAATGCTTGACAGACTGATCTAATAATCTCCACAGAAAATAATGAATTTGAGACTTTAAATTTCCACCAGGCTACAATCCAGTCACAACAAGAGTTACTACGACACTACTTATGATGGACCACTGGAAACGTGGTAAGTTAACATTGTCTAATCTGCAACTAGTTTTGACATTTTATCCTCTGACACCACAGGTTGAAGATTATCCTTTAAAGATGATCTTGGCTCCGATTTCCCTCTAGTCCTTTAATATCAGCCAGCAATTCTGCAGAAAACCAACAGCTTACAGGAAGAGAAGAGAGGAAGAATGAGACACCAGGGGTTTTAGGAACAGGGTGAAACCTGAGCTACAAAATAACACAGCCAAAGACTCAGGGCTTTCCAGCTTTTCTAAGTGGAAGGAATTCGATTTAGAGTCCAAATGGAGAAGAGGGAAATAAAGGAGGAAATAGTGTTAGTAAAAATAGTCACAGTACAGACATGAACCTGAAAGGATTACATTTACAAATTTAGAGGGTTTACATTCGAGGGAACTTCATCTTACACTTTGATGACATTTTAAACACTGTATTAGCAGAAATACATGGACAAATGTATTTATTGTATGTCAATGTCCCTATAATGTACAGGGGCAGTCACAAATACAACCATTTTTCTATGGAGCTTTGCAGTTATTAACATATTTCAGGTAGGCTGAAGACTACCATGTGCCTCCTCTAAGAGTTGCTGGTCGCTTTACCTGACAGAAAGACAAGAATAGATTTCCCTTCACAATGAAAGGGCCACGAGAATGCCAAAACCACTGGATGGTTTAACACACAGAAAAATTTTATTAGTTTCCAAAGAAATTAACTAGTTAAACTCACTTGCACTCTTCATCCAGTAGGTGGAACAGTGCTGTGGGCTTCTTGCTGATCAGGTTAATGCAGCCTGTATTGTCGATGTAGTCGATGTTGTGCCAGCTGATGCCCTCTGCTCTATATTCCTCCTGCAGGGACACACAATACAAACCTTCAATTATACTTTGCTTCAAAGTATTGTAATTTGATGTACATTTCTCTGCATTTCTCATGTTGCAATTAAGTGAATATGTCAGCAGCATCTACTGTATAGAAACAATTGTACATGCCTAATTTCATCACATCAATATGAAACAACAGAAAGAGAGAAAGTCTTGTGTCTTAAAGTCAGGAAAAAAATAATTTTAGGCCAGAAACCATCCAGTACATCAACATACATAGGCTCCAATAAAAATGTGAATTATCAACCTGCCATCAAAAAGAGACAACAGATCCTACAGTATGTGAATTGGGCTGTTTTAAATCTTTCAATCAAAGCAACTATGTTGTTCGTATGCATGCTTTCAAGTTGTCTCCCCACGCTGTAAAACACTCTCCAGATATGGTCCTGCCTCTTGGTGGTTTAATGATGAGAGAAGCATTCAGAGCATGCATTAGTGTTCTACCCCATACATGTTATTTTCCTGAGTTCCTGGGAAAGAGATTTAACCAATAAAGACCTTAATCCAGGGGAGGTTTAATAAAAATCACTGGAGTCTCCTTTTCTCTTGTCTCTTCTCATTACCCTAAAGTCAGAAGGCTGGGGGGAAATCAAGTTAATTACTGTTGTTTACTCCACTTTCTGTCCTGAAGACAATATAGTTACAAAAGGGAAGAGTAAGGGTAGATGAGCCTCTTCGGTATTTGGAATAATAAAACCAAATGATTGAGCCTGCTGCTGGCCATTCTTGTAAAAATAATTTGATATTTTATTAAGATTACAACAGTTTGAGAGCATACTTCTGTAGCACATTCCACCCTCAATTTATTTCACCGTTTTTAACTAAATATTCTTCAGCACCAGCTGTTACTCCCCTACTGAACAGCTCCAGCTGGTTCATCCTTTTGGATAGATTACAGAATCAGAAGGAAGGGCTGTTTATTTGAGACAATGACACTGTATAGTCCATGGAAAAATATCCATTTGTCCTTAACTTCTACAGAAACATTTAAAGCAGCAACAAATGCCAACTGCGGGAAAATTGAAAATGCTAACTTAGAAGCAGTAGTAGTAGTACAACAATAGCACAAGAAGACCATCCAGTCAGCAAACTGACTCACTACTGTCAATTACACAACAACAAATATCTAAATGTTGCCTTCATTAGTCACGATAAGGTGCTGGTCATACCCGACCAAGCAGGCTGTAGCAAGAGTGTGCTTTATTGCTCATAACCTCAGTTTCAATATCCCTTTTTTTAAACTCTTGTTTGATTATAAAACATTAACTTGAATGTAAAAATAAAATCTTTAACAAAAATCTTTCCTAGAAATATTGAAGGAGGAAATAACAAGATTTTAACAAAAGGTATAAGTGAATCATTTTTTTATTTGATAAGTTTTATGTTCATATGTGTACTCATGACCTATTTTGTTTTAATGTCTAGCTGCAAACCAACTGCCCTTCGGGGCAATAAAAATAAAGTTAGAGCAGTAAATATAGAACACATCTGTCTTTGCATCCTTTCACAATATCAACATTTTAGAACGTGATTATTTTTACTCTTGTGTCTTTTAATGAGAATTGAGACACACACACACACACAGGCTGGAAAGTATAAAACAAACACCTGTGCAATATAATCCAATACAACAGCCCTGGAATAAATGTTTGTGAAGCCTATAATATTTACTTTGTGTGGGTTCTGACTCAGCTCTTTGGTAATCACAAAGCTGTGGTTTGTGGGGGTGTTGTATTGGCGTGCATTACATTGCACAGGATACTGTATTCAACTCCTCAACATGCCTTTAAATCATCTTCACAGCTGTGATTCACTCTTATTTTGATTCAACCAACAAGAAAATAAACCAAAACGTGTCTCAAAAATGTGCAGACTCAGCTTCTCCAAAACTTCTCTATAGATGATATTAAAGTTTATGTTAATAGTGCTCCATAATTATATAATGAATAAAAGCCCAAAGATAAAATGTTAGTTGGAAGAAGACTCACAGGCTGCATCGCTGTAGGATATCAAACATATAGTCATTGAAGTCTTAATAAATAACCATCGTCAATACATTTACATATCAATATTATAATTTAACATTATTATAGAGCGACTTCTGCTGCCTATTTTCTGTCAGTGCACAAGCATTGAATGATAGGATGTAAAGTTGAGATTCTCGCTTAATTCTCATGTTCTCGCATTTGTATGCTGTTGTCCATGCAGTTGGTATGAGTAAAAATTAAAACTACAAAGAAAGACTGTTGGTCAGAGTTTTTTTTTAAGACTTCTACTCTGCTTGCACCATGGGAGGAAAATTGTTTTGAAACACTGAACTGATCTGAGAGGAATCCAACTGAGGATTGACTCTTTTATGGTGTTCCATAGTTTAATACATTTTATTTTCTTTATGCATACAAGATGATTACAGTGATCTTAGAAAGTACTATCATTACAAGATTTAATCTCTCTCTCCCTCTCCCTGCATGTTAAACGTACTGCTGCTTTTATGTTAATCTGATGGCATTCAGTTCAGACTTGTGGCGTATTGAAAATGATACGACTTTGTTTGACTTGGTCCGGCCGAAGATTGCTGATGTGACTTCTGTACAGAAAAGTGACCAGGGTGCTTTTTCACCATTGGTTTTCAGACCAGTGGTGGAATGTGCAGTGGGGGAAAAATTATTTGATGATTATTTGTCAGTGTTTGCCCACTGACAAAGACATTATCAGTCTATAATTTTAGTGGTAGGTTTATTTGAACAGTGAGAGACAGAATAACAAAAATCCATGTCAAAAATGTTATAAATTGATTTGCATTTTAATGAGTGAAATAAGTATTTGACCCCTCTGCAAAACATGACTTAGTACTTGGTGGTAAAACCATTGATGGCAATCACAGAGGTCAGATGTTTCTTGTAGTTGGCCACCAGGTTTGCACACATCTCAAGAAAGATGTTTTCCCACTCCTCTTTGCAGATCATCTCTTAAGTCATTAAGGTTTTGAGGACGACGTCTGGCAACTCGAACCTTCAGCTCCCTCCACAGACTTTCTATGGGATTAAGGTCTGGAGACTGGCTTGGCCAATCCAAGACCTTAATTGTGCTTCTTCTTGGCCATTTCTTTTGTTGCCTTGGCCGTGTGTTTTGGGTCATTGTCCTGCTGGATTACCTATCCACAACCCAGTTTCACTGCCCTGGCTGAGTGAAGGAGGATCTCCACCAAGATTTGACGGTAATTTGACAATCACCGTCCATCGTCCCTTTGATACGGTGAAGTTGTCCTGTCCCCTTAGCATAAAAACACCCCCAAAGCATAATGTTTCCACCTCCATGTTTGACGGTGGGGATGGTGTTCTTGGGGTCATAGGCAGCATTCCTTCTTCTCCACACACAGCGAGTTGAGTTGATGCCAAAGAGCTCGATTTTGGTCTCATCTGACCACAACACTTTCACCCAGTTCTCCTCTGAATCATTCAGATGTTCATTGGCAAACTTCAGACGGGCCTGTACATGTGCTTTCTTGAGCAGGGGGACCTTGCGGCCACTGCAGGATGTCGGTCCTTCACAGCGTAGTGTGTTACCAATTGTTTTCTTGGTGACTATGGTCCCAGCTGCCTTGAGATCACTGACAAGATCCTCCTGTGTAGTTCTGGACTGATTCCTCACCGTTCTCAAGATCATTGCAACTCCACGAGGTGAGATCTTGCATGGAGCCCCAGACCGAGGGAGATTGAGAGTTCTTTTGTGTTTCTTCCATTTGTGAATAATCGAACCAACTATTGTCACCTTCTCACCAAGCTGCTTGGCGATTGTCAATCTTGTCCCTGACATCCTTGGACAGCTCTTTGCCCCCCCCCCCCCCCACTGTAACTAAGTACATTTACTTAAGTATAATTTAGAGGTACTTTACTATTTCTTCTATTTTATATTTTAAGATACTTTAAACTTCCACTCCACTACATCTCAGAGGTAAATTTTGTACTTTGTACTCCACTACATTTATTTGACAGCTATAGTTCCCAGTTACATTTCAGATCTCAGATTGCTCCACCTCAACCAGCTGTAACAGTATTGTTTACATGTTAATGATTTAAAACTGACAACGCCCATAATGACAAACCAATAATTATACCTTTGATACACCAGATTTAAAAACAATGGTATACTGCGAATACAGAGAGATTTACATGGCGGCGATAGGCTTAATCAGCATTGTGCAAACTCATTTAGCAAGGGATTGAACAGATGTTCATGTATGTGTAAAAGTCCTACACTCTAGCTTTAAGTTCAATTTTGAATGCATTGAATTTATTTGTAATTGAGTATTTCCCTAGTGCGGTATTACTACTTTTACTAGTAAAGTAAATTATTTTAATGCTTCTAGCACCACTGACTCAGACATAAGAATGACATGTTAACTTGCAGTCACGTTAACATAAAGGGGTGAAAAGGAATTTCATATTCACATTATTCAGTGAAACAGAAAAGGGAGGTGTAATAAGTGCCCTAATGAGTGTGCGTATGCGTGTAAAGGTCTGTAAGTCATGTTTGAGTGTTTCAGGAATTTCTCCAGTACAGAGGAATTTATGGTCTGTGTAGTACTGTAGGTAGATGAGCAACAACAGGAAGACAGGTTAAACATCAACTATTTGCTACTACTAACTTCCTCTGTCCTTCCCCATTTCTATCATGGAAATCTTTCTTCTCACCATCATGGTAAAATATTTTAAATATTTTAAAGTTAAGAGAATAGCTACTGGCCTTCTTACCATCTTACCGTCAAGAATTATTATTTATAGTATGTAATTATACTAACGTTCTCTTATTCCATTTCATGTCTTTCAATGATGTGATGGCAGAGTGGTTGTTTGAAAACATTGGATAATAAAGGAAAAAAAGAAAATTTTCACCCTTTAAATGACCATCAATGTGCCCTTAAGCAAACCCTTTAACCCCTAACTGCTCCAACAGTGACTCACTGGTTGACAGATGAATGGAAATTTACTGTATGTAACTGTAGATGAGGGTGTGAAGCTTGCTTCAGCGGAAATATGAAGCAGCTCTTGGTTGACCTATTCTGGCTGAATCATTTTCAGAGGCTTTCAGGCTGCCTCAGTGGTCGATTTTTCCACACACGGCTAATGCTGTACTGCACTTAGGCCATTATGAACTCCTATGCTCTCGGGTTCCTACGATCATGTCATCAGTTTTAATCAACTGTAATAATATCAAAACTCCATTAGTTCCTGTTCAAGCTAAGATTTTAACAAAAATGTAGATTTTATTCAATTAGTGGCCTAAACAAATTCAGGAATACTAATAGTTTTATTTAACCTTTATTTAACCAGATTGATCCATGGAAAATATTAGAAATCAATTGGAGAACACATTCATAATTTCACAGCCCTGTTCACATGCAGAGTAACTGAGTGTTGTGGAGGTCAATATATTCTAAACCTTTCAACACTGGCTTAGTATATGTGACTACATCTCTGCCAAACTGAAAACACTGATGACAAATACTTCTGTAAATGAACAGAACATAGTCACTGGTATAACTGTGCACACGCAAACACGTGTCAGACCTGAGGTACAATCAAAGTCAAGTCAAAATAGTCAAGCTGAACAGCACACGTGGGACTTTTGCCTTTTGCAGTAAATATTATTTGACCAAATGAGTCAATGTGTAAACTGCATTCCAGCAGTGTTTTTACCCATCAGGAAGTTGAGAGACATCAGCTCTGTCATTATCTGTTTGAATGGTTGTTTACTGCAGGGATTCAACCTTCTGACAAAACACTAATATTTTGGGTGAATTAACTAAAAGGCTTGCACGGATTTTGCGCCTGCTAAACCTGTAGGACAAAAAGATTTGTAATTCTTAAAGCACCTGCAAAGGGTAAAATGCACCCCTAATTACACTGCGAAGAAAACAGCATCTCAGTGCTCCATTGCTATTTGCACATATTTAAATTAGGCAATATGCATACATTTGGCACAAAATTCGCCCCTTTCTATGACAATGAGGCGCATTGCAAAAAAAGTCAAATTTACCAACACCAGTGCTAATAACCACATGGAAAAATTATTAGCATCTTCAGAGAGTTGAGCACATTTATAAAGGGTGTCACATCCAGACTTTCCAGTAATCATGGCAACAGTGATTGTAGCCAGGCAAAGCAAGAGCACATCACAGAGGGGGAGCGCACCACACAACAATGACAAAAAAAAAAACACTCCATACAGAGTGAGTTAGAAAAAAACAAAAGAGTCATCCTGCAGACAGAAACAAATGAAAAAGCAGCGGGAGGTAACAGATAATTAGAATAGCTATAATTATAATTAGTATACATTCTCTTTAAAAACAAACATTTTAAGTGTGAGTGTTTGCGGCGTGTTTGCACTGTGAGATCATTAGTGCAATATCTTTTGTGAATCGGACCTTGAGATGCGGCATATAGCAGACGCAATGCACAATTCATAGTGCTATCACCAGCTGCAATTCATTCTTTGTGAATTCAATTGTCAATAACCACACATCTGTGACACAAACACACATTGTATGGGAGCACATGCAGCTGCACACATAAAGCCAAAATATGCTCAAGTAGAAAGTGCAGTAAGATTAAACTGATCCAGAAACAAATAAGAAATAGCCACTTGTAGGCAGACTGGATGTTTTGTGCATTTTCAAGGTTAAAGAGGTATAAACAACCTCTGCAGGAAATAATAATAACTAATAAAATAAAAATTTATATAAACTGAACATTTTGTTTCTTAACATTTGAATGCTTTATTTTACTCTTACTTGGCTTAATTTATTAACAAAGGGACAAAACAGAACAGTAAATGTCATTACATCCCACTAGTTGAAGGAGGATGTGTTGCTGATTGTAAGCATCAAAGCAGGAGTCATCTGAGACTACGAATTTAAAATAAAACTAACAAAGCAATGGAATTCCATGTACAGATACTTTATCAGACTATCAATTGTTCCTGGTTCCGTTCTATAGCATTCAGTACGACAGAAGTTTATTTTTCTTTTCAGAGAAAAAAAACAGTAATTCTGTTGTCTAGATTTCCAAAAATATCTGTGAAAGATCTATGATGTTCTTTTGTCATGTTCAACCCCTGATCAGACATCCACCTCTGGGTTTAAATATATTTTTTAAATTTGTAATGGCAGCAAAAAGGGTGTTAAGTTGCTCTTTAATAAATGTAACATTGCCGAACAGATGATGTCAAGATAAAATCTGGAGGATCAAGGAAATCCAACAGGACTGAGAGGAAAACTGTCATCCATCAAAAGAAAAACCATATATGTAATCTCATTACAAAATACTACATTTTCAGTTCACAACACAAAACACAAAAAAGAAGATGCAACACACAAAAAAACAGGCTGCATTTAAAGAAAAGAACACCTTGCCAACTGTTTTGCTCGAAGCTGGCTCTAACATGACCTGGGTTAGTGCAGCGGCCAGTAGCACAGGAAGTACTGTGGGATTCTAAATGAGAATCAACAAATACTGGAAGCTGAAGTCTCAGAGTCTGTGAGAAAAAAGGAAATAAGTGATCCTAAACATACCTTAAAACCAACCACGGCCTACTTACAAATGCTAAAGATTAAGGTTTTTGTAACGGCTTTTACTGGCCCCAGACCCCAGTCTGATCTAAAACATATTTTACAAGTGGTACAACGGTTTACAAGCACAAACCATTTTACAAGGGAGGGTGGAAGAAATGTTTTGTAAGACTGTTTGCTAGTTAAAAGAAATGTTTGGGGGCAAATGAAGTACTGACTGACTAGGTGCCTAAAGTTTTGCACATTATACATTTATAGATTTCTTTCAAACTATAAAAAAGCATCTGTGGATAAAGTTTGGGTCATGATCATGTTTCTTCCCTGCAGAGGCTGCATTAAGACATATGTACATGCAGCAACTTGTTTGCTTTACGAAGCTTCAAAACTGAAATTCTTGAAACCATCTTAACAAGAAAACTCTGCCAAGTCCTTAACAGCATAATAATTCTGAGTTTCACTTAATCTCCAAAACAAATAAGTCTTTAAAGTCTCTCCTCCTGACATAAATCTATAGTACAAGTCTTGACATATTTATGACATGGGGGTAAGACAGGGTTTGTGAACTGCCTTTGTACTAAACAGGAATGACTGAGGACGCAGTCCCTCATGTCTCGTAATTCATGAACTGAATGAAAGCTTCTTAAACATGTCAGAGCAGGCTACTGATTCAGTCAATCTCAAGGTAAACACAATGTTTAACTTACAGGCAAATCTTACATTTCATGACTTTAAAAAGCACTTTGAAGTTAATCAGCTCACTTAAAAGAACATGCATCCTCAGTCAGGTTGGCCACAGGGAGGGGTGAGTTGAGTCATACGGCTGTCAGCTTCTACACTAAGCCCGCTGCATTATGTGATGAAGAATTCCTCCATTGTTTCTGTGTCTTAATATATGCGCACTGCGTGGCCTGATAAGGATGAGGGTTTCCTTGGAAATGGTCGCAGCCCAAGAACTTAAGTGGGCAGATCTACAATATTTTAAAATAACAGTCGCAGTAATACAGAAGCTCAGAAGTTCAGCTTCCGGTCAAAGCCTAAGATAGAAAGACAGTTCCTAAGAGTCATCAACTTTGAGAAGGAAGAATATTTAAGAGACGTCTTACTTGTTCAAGCTTAAAGATGTGCTGGTTGAAGTAGTGCTGGAGACGTTCGTTGGCAAAGTTGATGCAGAACTGTTCGAAACTGTTGTTCTCGTAATCCTCAAAACCAAAAATGTCAAGTACTCCAATGGACAAGATCTGGAGAAGACAAACAAACACAACATAACATTTTCTTTTTAAATCTTTAATACTAAAATGTTGCTCATCATGATTGAAAAGTTTGTTTTTTTGAAATTCTCCAGTATGAGTATTTAAAAATCTCAGAAAGTGTTACATCTAAAAGTTGACTATGTTGTCATTAAAGGTCTTAAATGTTCTCAGCAGTGACTTTTAGAGTAAAAGTGACAATTTTCCAGCCAAAATTTCATAAAAATATTTTAAGTGACAGTTACTATATTTAGATTTTCCATTCTTCCATGAAGAATCTCTAAGAATACAACTCACTCATGTCTTGATCTCCTGTCTGATTTGTGAAGTTAACTCTATTACACATGATTGTGACAGCTGATGTGTTTGTGTCATCCTACCTTGGTGGTTTCCACCAGGTCCTTGATGTTGAGCAGAGCATGGTTGATCCTGAAGACAATCCAGTCAAACAGAGCACTGTACAGGGACTTTGCCATGGAGTCTCGCACCGTACCAGCCTAGAGGTGGACACATACAGTATTCTCTTTAGTGTTACTCCCACTGGTAATATTTCAGTTTACAACATTTGATTGATTAAGAAGAGAGAAGTATGAGGGATACAACTACTTCCATGGACAGTGTTACAGGAGAGAAACTAATTTATTCCACTGTCCTTTTACTATATATGCTTATGTTTTTATTTGTAACTGTATCTGTAACATTTCCATTTTTATTTGTTTCCTTGTTATCTAGCACTAGCAATTTTTTTGGCGAAGTGATACCTTAAAGGAACATTTCAACATTTTTGGAAATACGCTTATTTGCTTTCTTGCAGAGTAAGAGGAGAAGCTTGAAACCACTCCCCCTGCAGCTCTAAAGCTTACTAATTAACATGCCCTATCTAATTGTTTAATCCAAAAATGACATAAAAAACATTTAAACAAAAGCCATTTTGTGGATGGTTATGTGTCAGACTGTCCCTGCCACGAAATAGTGCAGCGTATAACCCCCTATAAAGAAACAAGATACAACATGTTAACTACTGCTGGGAGGGGGATTGTGTTACTTTGCAGAGGACTAGGCTGGCTGTTTCTGACTGCTTCTGGTCTTTATCCTGCTTCATATTTAATGCACGGACATGAGAGTCTGATCTTCTTGAGCTTAACTCTCAGCAAGAAAGCAAATAAGCACATTTCCCATAATGTCCAACTTTTCCTTGAAGTTTGTGACACTTATCTGTGCAGTGCCAGAGGTTTGAAGAATCATCCATTACTTTAGGTGCCAAATGATGCTTGATTCAAGTCCAGGTATCATTTCTGTGTCACCCGCTCAAGCTCAACGTTCCACACATCTGTCTTATACATTACAGCTTGGCCTTGCAACACTGCACTTTTGTACAGGTTGAGCATTAAAAAACACAGTGAATGGAGGCATTTAAAGATAGAAAATAAAATGGATTTATATCAAGGTCTAAATTTGAAACTCAGACAAGGGTCCAGTCTGAAAAAGGTTATTAAAAAAGGAGTCAAGATGTGCAGACAGTTGTATTTCTCCTTCATAATCAAACATTTATAGTTTTACCTGATGGTAAATCACATGTTCACTGTACTGTAAGAAGCCACTGCACTCATAAAGGAAAATGTAGAATGGGTTGTCCTAAAATGTAAAAACAGGAATAACCAGACAACTCTACCACCCAAACATATCTCTAGCACTGACATTCTGTACTGAAACTTTGGCACAAATGTCAACATTACAGATATGCTGCCAGACTGCACTGTGTCACAGCAGGGTGCCCTTGAGCCATTATTAATGTCATTAGCCAGCCTAACACTCATCAGGTTGACTCTTGAGATCTGGCAATCCAATTGAGTATAGCACAGTATGTATGATCTACCAAGCTCTGATAGACGAGGTTGCAGAATGTTAAAATTTCAGTTATGGGCTAATGGAAATATCAGCTTTAATAGGCTAAACACAGACTGTATAATATACAGCCTATGAGGCTCTGCTGCTGGTAAAGTCCAAGATATTATTCAGATGACAAACATTACATATTTGGATAATGTAGAAGTTGTCTTCCTGATGTAACTTTAGTTACTTTCATAGTCGTAAACATTATGTTGCCCACTATTTTAAAACCTGGTGTAGACTGATAAAGAATACTGAGCTGGATCAATGTTATGTATTCTTTCAAAAACACAGATTATTTGACAAAAACACTCTAATTCTCGTATCCGCTGGAAAGATTTGACCTTGCTGCAGCATAGGTTAGCCGTGGTCTTCAGAAGCAAAACAAACCATAAAGTGGCCACTCAAAGTTAAAATTCCTTCGTTTCTAAATAATTAACCAGGATATTTTTAGCGACCTCAGACGAAATATGCCTTCCATGAGTCAGGACAGATATTATTTTGAACTCCATACATACTATGGTCTAATGACCCATAAGCTTTTCATTATTTAAAGGAAGTTGGACTTAAAACATTCCGAGGAAGGAAAAAGCCTCATAACTTTGACCAAATGGAGAAAACTCATTACAGAAATGCTCAGATTTCTTTGAGGTTTTCAAGTGTATGATTTCAGTTAACAGGCAATGAGATTGTTGTGACTGTTAAAGCAATATTTACACAGAGACCACCCAGTGCGCTACCAAAACAATCACTGTTTGTTCATATGAAATGGCTCCTAAATATCTAACAGGCCATTATGAGGTTGTTGCAGTTTTGATGGGACTGTAACGCGCCACCATCTGATGGGAGAGTTTGTAGTAAAACACTGCTGAGACGGTTTCTCTGGGTGAATATACTGTGAGCAATTTGTACAGGAAAATAAAATAATCATTGGACTGTATGCGCACCAGAAAATACTTGGACAACACAGGGAAATGAAATATTTAGGCATGACAACGAGCTTGAAAGTTAACAAAACCTGTGTGAATTACAGTAACTGACAGGCATGTCAGATGTGAATCCTGTGTATCCATGTTGTTTGCTCTTCTCTTTTCAGATGGCTCTCATCTACAGACCATGACGTGTGTTTGTTTTCAGAGCGGGGGTCCCAATGAAAACTCTAGAGGGACTTGAAATGCCTTCCCTTCTTTCCAAACAGACTGAAGGGCTTGTGCATGTGTGTGTTTCTAAGTGTGTGCTGGTGTTCATGTGTGTTCATGTGTGTTCATGTGTGGCCACAGACTCAAAGAGCTGCAGAGAGCGAGAGAGCGAGAGAGCAGGAGTAGATCCGGCAATGTCCTGTAAACATGGCTAGGTCAGACTGAAGAGACGAAGCGGTTATTGAATTGGCAAAATGCCTTTAGTCGCACTTTGAGTATGATATTTTGTTTAAAATCATACACTCATACAAAAATCTATGTATGTTTAGATCTGACTTTATTACCGTACTGCAGTATATAATATGAACTATAAACCAATCTTCATAGTTTACCATTTTTTAAGTCAGTATGTAAGAAATTTAAATATTGAACTGTTTTACAATAACAAAAAGTGATACAGTACTTAAACCATTGGGCGTCAGTACTTGGAAGTTCAAATCCCACAGCCAATCAGACTTCACAAAGAGACAGCAAACTGTCTTTCCAAAAACGAGTTCTTCTTGGAGCCGTTTCACAATTAGTACATTTTTTCCCCAGCTGTCAGCAGTCCCGTCATATAGTGTTATTGTGGGACACTACAGTGCAATACTGGAAACACGGAAATCTACTTTTATTTTAGTAGTAGTAGTATGTCTTGAGTAATCTTTTTACTTTTTAAACACACTAGAGAAATCAAAAGCTGCTGTGGTGTACAACAACAAATTTAAACTTACTTGGCCTAAAAACTACGTTTCAACAAAATGTAACATAAGTGTGGACTCAAAACATTTTTAGCTATTGACACTCTTGTCAGTGATGGTCGATGGAAATAACATAGGTATTGATCACTTACGATAAGTACTACTGACTGCACTGAACAAGTATAATTTTCCAGATTTTCCCTGGTCTACTCATACTTCGGAGCAGGAAAGCAGCATGCTTGTTTTTCTACATGTAAGGACTTCCACCATCTGGAACTTCGATTGTGTTTTTTTCCTGTATTTGCATGTCTAAATTCAGCATGTTTTAATACTGCACTAGTTTAATATTTAATGTTAGCACTATAGGAGAACAGTCTCACCTCGGCAAGTTTATAAGGAACAATCAGCTTCTCTCCAACAGTAACGGTCTTCCGTGTTGTTAGAGCTTCGAACAGCATCTCTTCTTTGACCTGGTCACAACAGCGAGAGACAAAGTAAAATGAGTTACATCCCCACTGAAAAGATGACAAACTCATCATTTAATACAGTGTATTTATGTGTACACTTTTATCCAAAACAGCAACATTTTGTACTGTGAGTGACTTGAGAATCATGAATCATCACAGAGTTTTGAATTGTTCGAAAGAAATCTGACACTTTCTATTCAAGTTCCCTTTCATAAACTTTAACAGCGTTAAAGTACTGGGTGAAAGATTGAAGAGATGCTTTTAAAAATCTACAGCACCAACATTCACGGTTCTGAAAACTGTCCTCTCCTTATCAGTTTTTAGTGTCCCACAAAAATCCCGTTAGTACAGAAGTTAGGTTAAAAGGAGAAATGTGACGGTTCTGCAACAAACACACAGCTACTAAATTGTATTAAGGAAGGAGAATACAATGAGAGCCTAGTCACTAAATTGGCTAATGATCCATAAATCATAATTATGTAATACAATACTTAAACCACATAACTAGGATAATATCAAACTGTCACTTTTAATGTACACACAAGGGCCCCTCATGTATTTATTAACTACTTCAGACTCCTTTAGATGGACAGTAATATGCAGAGTTTGTCTCAACCTTCCCAACATCACTCGACAAAGTTAACACAGTTAGTGATAAACTTTGTGACTTATGAGATAAAGCCCAGTCACTTTGAAACAAGAGTCTTGTATGTATCGACACATAATTAGTCTGCTGAGGAACACATGCAAATGACTGACTTAGTGACTAACTCAGAGACAGACAGAATGCATTTACGAATAAGTGCTGGCAGACAAGTCCTGTTGAACTTCCTGTCACTGGGAACTTATTTATTCAACAAATAGAAAGGTGTCTTTGTACATGATATAATTTAGAGTAATAAATAAAGCTAAATCATTTTAATTCAACCAAACTTTTACATAAGGCGGCAATATTTAAACCAGTCACTGTTTTTTCTGATCTTTATGATTTTTTGCAATTATGAAAAGTCTCTTCTTTGTGTTTTTTGGCAATACAAGCCAACAAGAAACGCAGTCAAAGCAGTTGTATCACACTAGACCTCGACAGCATCCGTCTTTTTTGATGTAAACACACATTTTAAGAATGCGCAGCAATAAAAACTCCCACGTATAATATTTTACCTCCAGCAGTTCTGAGACGACAGGCAGCACCTCTGGGTTACAGATATCAATAGAGTCGTCCCTGTAGGTTTTCCTCTTATAGCGGATGTTGCCAAGGTGAAGGATGGCCGACAGCAGGGAGAAGATCCTAAACAGTTCAGGACACGTTAAAGAGATGCACAGCACTGGAAAAATACTGTGGAACTGTCTGTAGCTGCAGTTACTCTCAATCTGTGGGATCCTTTGATTTTATTCATTCAGACTGGATTGAAATAATAATAAAATTGAAAGTGAGATTATGTTACTGGTGACTGCAGACTTGAAAATGTGGTGGACAACAAGGCTGGGGTGTCAACAAATGATATACTGTTTATAGGTACTGTCCAGTATATATGCGACTCCTGTTTTTATTGTAATGATAATTTCTTCTTTGTAGACTGTGTGTGTCACTCACTGTTTCCGCGTGGCAGGAAGAAAGCCCACCATCTCCATGGCCAGCTGAAGCCTCTCAAAGTCATGCTTCAGGTCTTCCCCTTCAACTGTGAAGCAGTCCTGCAAAAAAGCAACAACCTGGTGTTATCAGACTTACACAGCAGCTGTTACAACACACCGGCCTGGAAGCCAAAAGAGCAAATGACAAGTCACTATGAAGTTTAGAAGGACTTACTAAAGACTGTTGACATACACCGTGCCCAAATGTTTTTCATGTTTACAGTGTGTCTAACAAAGATGCTTAAAATAGTTTCTTAGTTTACTTTGCAGCTGAAACAAAAAAAAAACAGATTGGCCTGAAGCAGACAAAATGAATGACTCATACTAAAATAAGCTATCATTAAGAGGCTTGGCGGTCAAACACAGCAGCAACAAATTTCAGTCTGATGTGCTGAGCGTCTCATGAACTGCATCTTGTGCAGATTCTGCTCATGTAGTGGAAAATGGCCTGGCTTCCCCTTTAAACCAATCCACAGAAATTTGGCAAGCTGGCAAAAGAGCCGAGAGGAGCTGCAATTTATTTCCTGTGTTTGAGTCATTGACGACAAGCTAAACTAGCATGGGGGAGACACAGGAGGAGCTTGTTTTGATGCAACAACAGTTGTGTGTGCAGAAAGGCGCTTATATGTGCAAGTTTACATAAGAAAGCATATTTAATACACATGAAGACCAGATGTCACTGACAACACAGGCGCTAGAATCCTGAAGTTATTACAAAAAACAAATGTATTAAATACTATGTATTAAATAACAGAAATATAATTTAGCAAGCAAATGCACACGAGAATCACTAAACTTGTGGATAAATGTGGATATGGATTAGTTGTTTATGACAAGAGCATAGAGCTTTTCCCAGACATGAAACACATGCTTTGATGTAACTACATAACTACACAGTCTTTCACTACATAAACCCACCGTAATGTGAGGTCTGCACTTTGCTCTTTATGGGCCCATTCCACTATGGCTGCCATAATTATCACATACCGAGGCCTCAGAAAGACACACACTCCAAATGTGAGACTCAAACTTAAACCAACGTGACTCGTTCTTGCCTCCCTCACTCTCTACTTTTATGGCAGAGACTCACACTGACCTATTAACGACTCTAGTGTTACATTTCCATGGCAGGAAAATCTACATTCATTTAAAAAAAAAAAACATTTCTTAAAACTTATTTCCAGTGAAAACAATTTACCAATGTAGTAAAAAGGTGTTAGAGGATTCCAGATGTTATTAAAAAACATAAAACATCATCATAATGATTAAAATACATCAGTTCGGAATAAGATTTCCTGACAGGATGTGTGATCATACAGTTTTCCCTGCTGTGTTGAAAAAAAATTAAACAAATGTCAAATTCAGAAATACTGAAATACGCATTAATTCCTTTTTATATTACTCATCATAGATCACTGCTGCAGTGCTAATGACACTGAAGGCACTGCATATTTATAATTTTTCTATTATATTATGCATGTATACCATATACAGTTAACTCACTGAGGTAGAAGGAGCAGAAAATGAATCAACTGTAACTCAAGAATCAACATGCAGTGTTACATACATGTGTTAATGAACAGAAACTTTAATGCCCACCACAAAAATAACATAGATAAAAATCCCAACACAAATCACAGAAGAGTTTTTTGATCATTGACATTGTGCAATCTCAGCATTTTTGCTGCAGAGCGGTGAGTGTGATTTGAATCAGATACAGTGACAAGAGGTGAGGGTGTGTCTTTGGGCAAATAACTTGTGGCAACACAGAGGTATGAGCATAAAAAAATATACCGTAGCACAGTCGTTAACTTGTTAGTGAACAATGTCTTTGATTGAAACTCAGTCCAAACTCACACGTCTTGTAGTTGAAATGCATTATGTTCTATTCAGGCCACGTTTTGAGAGATACTGTACTGTTAAGTCTGTTGAATGATGATTCTAGAAAGATGCCATTCTCTTTTATTCTTTCTGACCTTGGGTAATTTACTAGCTCACTGTTTTACCTATGGTTCTAATTTATAACTGTTTCCTACTATGTGTTGTGTCCCTAATCCACAGTAACCAGAACTATCGCTTGCATTTCTACAAGAAGGTAATCTATTGTACAGAAAGGAAAGTATGATTGGCTTTAAATGGAAGTATTGTCTTTGAGATTTGTTTGTTTGCCACACATGTTTCACTGTCTGTCTCTTGGATTTATTAACATGACATGATTTAAGTCAAGTGTCTACGTTAACTTGATCTTAATATGTAGTCTTAGTCATCACTGAGCAGCAGTGTCAGCCCCTCCTAAGCCTGAGCCTAAGAGCCTTTGCCAAATGTCATTCAGTAAATGTGACGTAAATGATACAAAAAAAGGCTGGAAACAAAATCCTATAGTTACTGATATAATTTCAGGTCTTTGAGAAATGTTCAGCCATTGTAATAGAATATGGGAGATGACAAGAAAAAAATATCTCAATATAAAGTCATGGCACCTGCAGTGGTTTTAAAGTAACTTAATGAGGACCTCATCTTAAGCATGGGAGATTTCACTATTGGTAGTAAAAAACACTGCACTGTCAATGATCAAAAAAAGTCACACAGGTTACAGCAATACAGGCAGCTACAGTGGCCAGGATATGACTAGACATACCAACATAACTCAGAGGAGCAGCACAACAGGAAAAAGCGAAAAACAAACAAAGCTAAAATAAACGCTACCCAAACCAAACCAGGAAAGCAACAAAATGAGCAGAGGTGGGTGGGTAGGTGGGGGGTGCAACTGTGCAGGGAAAGTGTGGCTTGAGCTGCAAGTGCTCAGGTGACTTCTCCAACATGTACAGACAAAAGGGCGGTACACACACAGCTAAGGCACAGATACTGACCGGTTCACTCTCACTGTAACTGTCCCAGTGCAGTTGGCGGGTTGACTTTGTCATCTGGAAATGTTAAGGCAGAGTTTACAGGGGGCTGGGTTACGGTTACACAGCAGCATTCCAATGACAACACATACCGTACCGATTTATGCGCCACAAACAGTGATGGAAGGACGTGCTGTTAAGACACAAGCGATGGCTGAACTTTACAGCTCTGTTCATTACATACAGACACACACTCACAATCAGACACAAGTCAAACATTCAAAGGCATATAGACACTGATGAGACAGATGTATGCACACAAAAAGCATTCACAGACACTAAATAAGGATAAGTCATGACTAAGTCATTAAAGCAGAGTCAGAAGGTGGAATGAAGCTGCAGATTTGTAACACAGATGTTCAGTTCAGAATGAATGATTGGCATACTTTGAGTTTTTAGGGCTGATTTCCCTTTACGTAGATAAGGCATCAAAACCTACTTGCAGACATGTTAAACTTGCTTGAGAATCTTGGAATCTACCACAGCGTTCAGCTTCAGTTTTTTAAAGTAACTTTTGCACTGCGTGGTGTTCCAGTTTGTGATCAGGAACTGTTTTAAAATTTGTCTGTTTGGAAAGGCAAATACCATCTGAGATTTCAGAATCTGCTGTTGAAAAGCAACATTTGTAATAAACAAGCTTTGTAATAAGCAGATTCACATGATCCTGTTTGCTACAAAATCAGAAAATCAAGCTAAAAGCCTAAGGCTTGCTTTGGACATTGTTCAGTTAAAGGTACAGTGGGTAGAATTTAGTGACATCTAGCAGTCTTTAGCTATAAAGGGCTCATTCTAAGGTAACGAAAACAATGATTCTTATTTTCAGCTGATCAATGGAAACGTATTTATGATTATTATATTCCATTTTAGCCATATTCTGCCAATACATCTTCCCGGACCTTTAAATGCACATTTATTGTTAATGAGATAACTGAAAGATGCAGAGTGAGTTATGATTAAGGACCAAAGTGTGAACAATGAATGAAAACAGCACAATAGGGTGAGAGAGATGCAATGCAAGTGCAGGGCAGAGAAAGAACAGAGTGCAAGAGTGTGTTTATGTATTTATGTTTGCATGCGTGTTTGTGTGTTTGCATGTGCATGTCAGTGGCTGGGAGGAATGAAAGGAATTCCCTGCTCTCTTCTGCGTAGGCGTAAGGATTTTGAAGGAGAGGTGCACATCCTTGGTTGTCTTGGTGTGACTGTCAAAGCTCGGGAAAAAAGACGTAACACGCTTTACACGACATCCACATTCCATTTAAAGTGAGAGTATGTGTTATTATTTAATATGCCTTTGTTTCATGGTTATGTGAAACCTGTTTTCAATGTGGGCAAAGCAAGTAACAAAAACAAATGACAAACACTATGTTTGTCTCCATCTTTGTGTGTGTTTGTCAGTGGTGGTGTAGGGGTGAGGATGTGTGTGTGAGTGAGTGAATGAAAAAGCCACCAACAGTGGAATGTGTTTCCTTTGTGTCCTGATTTTCTCTCTTTCCTGTTTGCAGAGACACAGAGGTGACTGTACTTGATTTGCTAGGTTCTTAGAACTGGAAGAAGACACCAATACAGACACAGACAAACATACACAACTCTAAATTATGGCAAAAACATCACAACACATAACCCAAAACACAGAGACATTAAAAAAAACAGACAACGATCAGTGTAGGACAAACCTAGGCAAGATTACTTAAAATAAATAAGTTTATTTTGTCTGACCATGAAGCTCCCACCTGACTGAGGTAATGGTACTCTTCAGGCTTCTTGAGATGAAAGGCTTTCCTCTCTTCTTCACTCGATCCTGCCAGCAGGTAGTAAAACACATGGTAGTTTCTAAAAAACAGATTTAAAAAAGGGTTAAATAATTAATTTCCATTTATGGTTAGTTAAATTTAAACTAACCATTTAAACTAAATACAAGCTTTATTGTTACCTAATCCAAATGTGTTTTTATGAGCATACCATGTAAAAAAAACATTACTAACTAATGACACACACTAGTAATAATAATGCTGTGACCTAAATAAAACTGTACGGTGGTCATTTTAAGCATGCCTTCAGTTAGGAAGTTAACTTTTCACATGTTAGCTTACAATAGTAGTTGCGTAGCAGTTAATGTTAGGATAAAATGCTAAAAGAAATGCTAAATACCAAAATGTTAGTTAGTAACAGCAGAACATTTATATGTGCAGAGTTAGCATGGCAGACTGCTAATGTTTTGTTTATTATGTTGTCATGCAAACAGCTTAGTAACACCCGGTAACACCCTTACATTTAGCATATTCAACAACCGCATGTTTAGCATGTTAGACAGTCAGCAAGGTAATGTCAGCAATTTAGCATGAAAAGTTAGTATTAAATTAAACTACAAAGAGAGAAATGAGGCATCATCATCATCTTGTTAACTGAGAAACTTGGTGCTAAAGAAAACATCAGGTGATCACCAAAGATCTAGAGAGTGTGAATGTCTCTACCTTTTGTGGCAAACAGTCCATTACTTGCAGGGACAGAACAATGTATTACTGATTCCCTAGAGCCACAATGCTAATGTGGCTTAAACAAAACCAAAAGCTAGAAAAAGAACTATGACAGCTGTGGTATATCATCTTGTTTGTGTGTATGAGTGTGTTTGTATGGGGGGGGGGGGGGGGGGGACGCTCACCTGGAACATTTTAACGTTAAATGCATAATTTGGTGCAAAAATATTGAGGTTATCTATGAAAAACTCTGCACTCTTGTAAACAATGTTGTGCTCTAGTAAACTATTTAAACATAAACCCATTGTTTAGCTATAAATGGTGATGAAACAACAAAAGTCAACCCTAAATCAAAGAATAGAAAATAGAATAGAAAAATAAGTAATTTCCTTAACATTTTATTGTTGTTTTCTTTTTACTTTAAATGGACAAATAATATTTTTTATATTTTCTGTGAATATAATCCAATTAATCTTATTTCCTTACTGTATAGACACCTTATTTTGAAAACTGAGCGTTGTCACATGTGTATCCTCACGCTAAATTCATCAAGTCCGACCCAGTTTGATAAATTATGTTGTATGTGGTTCTTGTGTCGCGTAACATGAAGACTTCATAGGCCTCTCTTCAGGTAGGACTCTCATACTGCAACACTTGTCTTTATAAAAAGAGAAAATGACAAAGTCGCTAACCTGCCTGTCAGCTCGCGTTGGTCCTTTTCAATGTTTTCATGCTTTTATCTTGTATTGTTTTTGTATTATTGTCTCTTGGGTATTATTGTCTTTACACTTGTTAAAGCACTTTGTAACTTGTTTTTGAAAAGTGCTCTACAAATAAAGATTATTATTATTATTATTTATTATTACAGCAGCGCGGAGCAGCGCCCACAAAACACAACGTTAGAGGTCTGTAATGTTATTATGAGATGTGTAAAAATATTTTCGGTGCATTTTGAAACTATGGTGGGGCAAATTAGACTGTGGCAGTCCGCCATAGTCTCGTTTATTAATGGGAAACACTGTGTGTGCACTTTTACTATGACAGCATCTCGCTGCATAAAGGTTAGTGGTCAAAAGTGTGCAGCAGCTGTGTGGCCAAGGGCCTCTTGGAATACACACACACACACACACACACACACACACACACACACACAGACACACGCGCTTTATGGTCCTGAAGTCAGCAATCCATCTCAATAAGAGGTTGCTGATGCAGGGGTCCCCCTGCGAGCCCCCCCATGGAGAGGTTAACCCTCGCCCCACCGTCCAGCCTATCCAACACATTAGTGTCATCCCCACTTAAGACCTCAATTCACTTCATGGATCTCACTTTGGGGAAACTCAGATAAAAAGGCTTTCTGAGTTAAATTTACTCAAACCATTTATTTTATAATTGCTGCTAGCACCATTTTTCTAAGTTAGTAAATAAAGTTTTTGCTGCTCCCTAGGCTTGGAACCGGTTGCAAAATGACCTGAATCTTCAGGAGCTGCTCTCACTGGATGCATTTAAAGTGATTGTAAATGACTTTGAAGCAGGTCCATCTGGCTGTAGATGTTTTGCCATCTTATAATTCTGTATTTGTTTCTTGTTTTGTTATTGTTATTTGTTTGTTTTTTAAATTTTGTTTGTCTGCAACTGTGTTATTTGTGCAGCTGCCTTTCTTGGCCAGGATACTCTTAATAAATAGATTTAGATTTTTAATCTAAGAGTCTTTTACTCCTGGTTAAAGGTTACATTAAAAAAAGGTTTTAAGCAAAGTACAGTTCAAATGTACTGATTCAATATACAAGATTGTGCTGGAATTGCAAAAATTAACGCAACTTAGTTTGTTGAAACATTGTCCAATTGTGGGACCTTAAACATCATCCATGTATAAGTGTTGATATGTTATATTAAAACATGTTGTTTGCTCCCCAACACCACAGCACCCAACTGACGGATTTTCCTGGTTTCAGACATTTATCTGGTTATAAATGGTTGTAAATAATTCAATATTCTACAATACTGCATCTGTCCTTTTATTTTCCTTTGTGATGCTATGTCGACTGAAATGTCACCTACGGAGGATTAATAAAGTTTTATCTTATAAATGTCACACACACGGTGCATAGATACTGTTGGATGAATGCGTACACAAGAGAGGCAGTGTGAATCTTGATAAGAAGATTATGTGTCTTATGTGAGAAATTTGGAGGCTAACATTAGGCGGTCGTGTCTCGATGGTAACTCTACATTTGCGAACATTAGAACATAGACATTGTTTCTTCATTATGCGCGTTGTGAACATGTGAGAAGTTCGCCAACAGGGCTTTCTGTCAGAAAGGCTTCACAAACACAGGACTTTTAGTACTTAGACTCCCAGTATATTTGGCATTGCTAGTGCGTGCAGAGTGAAGCACTACTGTGGGAGGGTTTCACTAATCTGCGGTTACCATCAAGATATAACCAGTTTTGACAGTTTGTCATTTTTAAAAATCTATTACCTTTACTCATAAGTGAAGCAGTATCTAAGTGTCATTTTCTGCTTAACAAAACTATGAACTTAAGCATTTCTAAGATTTTGATTATGTTATGCTTTTCTGAGAAGTGCTCACCGCTCATTGTGCTCCTGATAGACCAGCCTTGACTTTTCCAGAAGGTATTTTTCCACATATGCTCTGAAAAAAAGTATAATAAAACAGTTAACCTCAAATCATGATTTTTTTGGGGGGGAAATGAAAAGCATCTGTCTCTGGTTCCTTACCCTCTCACAGTGCCACTCTCCTGGTAGTTCACCTGAATGAATTTGCCAAAACGGCTCGAGTTGTTATTGTGGGCTGTCTTTGCGTTCCCAAATGCCTGAAGAGGAAAGAGAGGAAGATATGGTGAGATGAAAACAAATACACACTGGGGAAAATAAATGGGAAGAAGTCACATATTACATATCTTACACACAGATTAGTGACAGACGTTTGAGGTCAAGTTATGAGTTGACTTCAGGTGTGGTGTTTGTGGTTCAAGGACACAGAGACTGTGGCCTCATGCCAGACATTGTCTTGAAACCCAGTCAGCCTGGACATGCAGAGCAAGCTTTTCCTCTTACATAGTTTCAAATAGCGTCAGTCCAAGACAGATTAATAACATGGTTTTAGGATCTATTCATGTCGGAGTCAGACAAATTGCCAGAGTGAAGATGAAGGAGCTGGGGTCAGAAGGCCTGATGGAAAAAACCTCCTCAGTGAGTAATGGGATCCATGTGGCCGTGTGGAACATGTGTAGTGGTTGTGCTTAAATAAGACAGTCCAGTATTTCCCTTCGCGGCTCTGTTTATGTTGTATGGCTGCCTGGAGGGGAAGTAGTTTTTCGCCCCATATATAAACCCTGCAGTTATTTGTAGATCCGTCACAAGAAAACAAATTCCTAAGTGAATCACTTAGAGCTTCCCCAAGCCCTGCGTCTGTGGAATGGGAAACACCCCTCTCTGACCCCACCCTATACCAACGCCACTTAACTAACATACAAGCATGCTCGTAAAGGCCGAGCTAACAGGCAACATTATAGGGCTTCGAGCTTATCCTAATGTGCAAATGTGCAACCAAAACTGCATTGAATTGCACTTGATTTTCAAAAACGAAAAACAGAAGAAGGAGCTAGTAAACTGAAGCTCTGTGAATGAGTACAGCGTACCATTTCCTAAAAGCATCTTTCTGTTTCAATGATCTCTGTTCCATTGTCTATGGTCAAAGATCATCATACCATTAAGATGCTTTTGGGAATCAGAACCCAAGAAACTTTGGCCTCTCTAATACTGACAGAGCCAACAGAATCACAGCAATGAACTCTCCCCCCATTTATCACTCAGCAAACTGAACGAATCATTAAAATGGGCTGTGGAAAAAACATTTTCAACACTGTCTGGTCAAATAATAAGCGTACAAGGTCAAACTAAGGACAGTGATGCCTCATGCACTTGATATTACCAGAGGAACTGGTATTCTGTTCACCACTCCATCCATCTCTCAACTGGCTAACCTGCCTGGATCAGGAACTATAGGTCAGAGTAGTCCATATGCAGTAGGAACTTCCTATGTGGACAGCCAAAAAAACCACTACTAAAATACTAAAGCGCTGCAGACAGGGTGAGGAACTCGGGTTAGACAAGTCAGATATTGGACCTTTCAGTGTTTTTTTATTAAATGGCGTGACATTCAACATTTTGTGTTGGGCCAGTAGGAAGCAGGATGTGGAACAACTAAAATACTGAGAGCTAATTTATGTTCAGGCACTGTGTATTAGTCCACCTTGTCTGTGTAAAAAAGATGCATAGTTTGAGAAGACATTTTTACAGCCGACAGTTTGTATTCTTTCTAAACTTGGCTAACTTGGCAAAAAAATAAATCTCACAGCAGAAGGGACAATATGTCATAACTGACCTCTGGAGGGGATTTTCTTACCAACATGCAAGGAAAATGGATGCAAAATAAATTGGAATTTAAAGTCTCTAGAGAGAGACCACTGTCACTAGTTATTAGCTAGTCACTGTAATTACTAAGAAAATTTCACCATTTCAATTTCTAAGAATAAAAAAATATATTTCCAGGAACATTGGTCATACTTTCCTCATAGCATCAGAAGTACTAACATTCCCAACAGAGCAATCTATAGTAACATGTCAACAGACAAAAAGATCAATCAGTACCAAATCTTGCCATTTTTATCCCCAAAAGTAACCCTGAACAGACCTGAATGCAAAGCAGGCACAAGAAAAGTTGTGCTTTCTGTAACTTGTTCTCAACTGCAAAAATTATTTTTCTGCACTCCAGCTCTGTCCACCTACACAAACAACCTACAACATGCAAAGTTGTTCTTGCCCCTTCTCCTATGGGAGTTGTCAAAACTTATTCTGGAAATCTAAGTCAATAACTCAAGCTCAAGTAGACAGGGCAGGTTGAGGTAAAGTGGGAAGACTAAAACACAAAACCACATAATTTCAATTGAACTAATTAGATTTCCAACAGTGGAAGAGTATCTGAGGGTAGATTTTTTCCCCCCTGCAAATTGTGGCAAAGACAAAGGGACACCAGAGCTAAAACTGTTTGTAGAGACATGATTTGCACCACTTCAGTCACTCCAGCACGTCAGCAACATTATTCTTGGCTTCAGATCGCAGACTGAGCCAAAGACAGACCAATGACAGACTTGAGATGGTGCCAGTGTGTTCTGGGTGTAATGCGTCTGTCTACAGGCTCGGTCAAAGTCGTTCAGAGGAGCGCAGAAAGAAAAACACTGGAGTTGGTAATAAAACATGAAGGCATAGTCAAGAATTCATCCATAATACACCACAGATCTAAAACATAATAACTGATTTAAATTGTAGATTGTGTCAACATTATCATCTTCAGCTTTCTACGACCGTTAGAGTTGCATGTAACAGAACTTTAAGCTTTGTGATCTGAAGTTTCTTGGGAGTCCTACTTTGGGTGTTAACTTCTCCCCCAAAGTTTATATGTATACAGGCGTGTACCCTCAATTTTTTGATCAAAGGACCAGATATCTTCTAATGCAGTGGTTAAACTTTTGTATAGATGATTGAACCAGGAGAGTTTCATGCTGATCTAAGCTTTGGAAGTGCTCCAACTGTGAGTCATGTAACATTGTCAATGCGAAAAACAGCTCTTTCCACTTCACAACTAAATCATTTAAGACTAATAACTAATACTTTTTTTTATAGAGGGATTCCGTCATCCTGGAATTGAAGATGTTTAGGCTTGGTTTTTTTCCCAGTGGTTTTGGTCAATTGAAATGAACTAATACTCCAATTCTGTTCTTACAATTTTGTGATGACAGAATAAGAAATTATAGTTCATTGGGACCTGATGCACCGAACAAGGCCATTATACCTCATTAAATCTATCTCTCAGTATTTAGCGTAGTAGCAGATCAGTACATCACAAGCGTTGCCAAATAAATAAATATTTGCATTAGGTATACATGATGTACAGGGTCAGATCTCAGGACAACTGCAATAAAAGACTCTTCTAGGAAATCAATTATACTTCCAGCACCACCTTACGCAGAGGCAATCAGTCTAGATTCTATTAATGCTTCTGTCTGTAGTGAGATAATTCAGTCTTTGTCTGCTCTGACTCATGCAGTGTGCAGACACATGGCCTTTAATCATATGAGGATGACTTCATTAGCAGCATCTTGAGGAGTGGAAAGTGAAAACAGGAAAACAGACTGTTGTGCTGGGTCAAGTCTGCAGGGAGCGTTTCAAACGGATGGAGGGGTCACGCTAGGCGCTCAGATAGAAAGCGCAGACAAAAGACTGCTTGATTTAACTCACAAAAGGATTATCTTTTAGTAAGTCATTGATTTGCTTAGGGGTTACAAATGAATTTCTGTTCTGGTTTGTGTTTAGAGGTCATGTGACAGCATGGTCCCAAACTATAGAGAAATGATTTGTCTGAATTTCCAAGTTATTTAAGTCAAATTGGCCATAAAATACAGAGACAGCATTCTTCTGAAAACTGATTTAGGAAAGTGTCACCAAATTTTTAGCATTCCTTCTCTGACAGTAGCTACACAGAGCATCTTTATGATTCAATAGCTACTCAGAGAGGGCATTGCTCATTTGCAACCTTTGTAGATTCACATCCTTCTCTGAGCTTAATGCCAGACTTAGTCATCCACCACAGTATGTGGACAGGATGTCAACAATACAGTCAAAGAGCGAGTGACTCGGCCCAACATGTATCGTGGTTGTGTCACAGCGTGTGTGGGGGCAGATAATGTTCTCCATGCCCCTTGTAATCTCACACCTAAGATCATGTTGGCCAGAGTGGACTGTGGTCTCTGCGGTTGTTTTAATCATGAGGGGATCTGCAGTCATGGTTGCAGTCAGACTACTAAAAGTCTACAGCCATGCTAGTAGCTCTGTGAGGCTGTACTTAGGTGGTGCAGTGGTGATTTGAGCTGAATGATAACATCAGCATGCTAACAATGACAATGCTATTGTGCTGATGTTTGGCAGAAATAATGTTTACCATGTTCACTATCTTAGTTTAGTGCTTTAGCATGCTAACATTTGCTAATTAGCAATAAACTATACGTACAGCTGAGGCTGATGTGAATCTCATAAGTTTAGGAAGTACTTTATCATAAACCAAAGTACTGCACAAGTTTAATTTAGTCAAGTTAAATTTGACCTGATGATGGTGCTAGAGGAAAAGTCAGTGGATCACCAAAGTTTTAGAATTCATCTTTTGGGTACTAGGTGATATCTGTAAAATGTCACACCAAACCAATCAATAGTTGAACATCATGAAAGTTAGTAGTTTTCATCCTCTGGGGAACACGAATGCAAAACATGGCATGGCTATCCATCCAGTAGTTGTTGATGTTTCAGTCTGGACAAAAATGGTTTGACCAAAAACATCACCATCCAAAGAGCCATTAGGCATGGCTCCATATTACCACTTTTACTTTAATGATAAATTTAATGGTAACTATTGTTGTACTTACTCAGTGTAGGGTATTTCATTTCCCATACTGGATCATGTCCAATGTGTTTGTCCTGATTCATTTCAACATGACCAGTTAGGGATTTGGAATTTCTGGAGTAGACTGTGGGCTAACTGGTTGGCTAAACTTCTGCTTGCTGGCACTAGCCTTTTCTGTTCTCAGTTTAATTATATGAAATTCAATTTACTGATAATTGCAACAGAGTAAGACTTGCTTGGAAGGGATAAGGGATGAGGATGATAAGGATTTAACATCAGAATCTGCAAACTTCAGAAACCACAATGGGTAACAAAACTCTGTGGATTAAGAAAAGTGCCTCTGTTTACATTTAAGAA